ATCTGGGCACCGAGCTGGGATCTGGGTGTGGAGTTGGGATCTGGGTGTGGAGCTGGGATCTGAACTTGTATCTGGGCACCAATCTGGGATCTGGGTGTGGAGCTGGGATCTGAACTTGCATCTGGGCATTGAGCTGGGATCTGGGTGTGGAGCTGGGATCTGGGCACTGAGCTGGGATCTGGGTTTGGAGTTGGGATCTGAACTTGGATCTGGGCACTGAGCTGGGATCTGGGCACTGAGCTGGGATCTGGGTTTGGAGTTGGGATCTGAACTTGGATCTGGGCACTGAGCTGGGATCTGGGCACCGAGCTGGGATCTGGGTGTGGAGTTGGGATCTGGGCACTGAGCTGGGATCTGGGTGTGGAGCTGGGATCTGAACTTGGATCTGGGCACCGAGCTGGGATCTGGGTGTAGAGCTGGGATCTGAACTTGGATCTGGGCACTGAACTTGGATCTGGGTTTGGAGTTGGGATCTGGGTGTGGAGCTGGGATCTGCGCACCGAGCTGGGATCTGAACTTGGATCTGGGCACTGATCTGGGATCTGAACTTGGATCTGGGCACTGAGCTGGGATCTGAACTTGGATCTGGGCACTGAGCTGGGATCTGGGCATTGAGCTGGGATCTGAACTTGGATCTGGGCACTGAGCTGGGATCTGGGTGTGGAGCTGGGATCTGAACTTGGATCTGGGCACTGAGCTGGGATCTGAACTTGGATCTGGGCACTGAGCTGGGATCTGGGCACTGAGCTGGGATCTGAACTTGGATCTGGGCACTGAGCTGGGATCTGCACTTGGATCTGGGCACTGAGCTGGGATCTGGGTGTGGAGCTGGGATCTGGGCACCGAGCTGGGATCTGAACTTGGATCTGGGCACTGAGCTGGGATCTGGGCACTGAGCTGGGATCTGGGCACCGAGCTGGGATCTGACAGCCCCAGCATTCCCAGTGCTGGGTTCCTGAGTCCAGTGGGGTTTGTGGAGGACCAGCTGATAGCTGAAGGTCAATCCCAGCCAGGATGGGATCCAGGGAAGTTGCTGTGCCCAGAGCCAGGAGGACAGGGACGGTTTCGGTCCTCCAGCAGCTGCCCCCTGCCTGGAGCTGTCCCTGCTGGGGCTGGAAGGGATTGGAAGCCATTCCTGGGCTCTGGGACAGCATCAGGAGCAAGGTTGGGAGCTTGTGATGAATTCCCAGAGTTCCATCCCATGAAGCTGCTTTTGGGAGCTGCTCTGGCAGCTCCAGACACAGCAAATGAAACCCTCACACTTCTCATGATCCCTACATTGCCTCAGGACGTTTTTCCCATGAAGATTGAGTCTGGGATGGTGGGAGAAGCAGGCAAAAGGGCAGAACAGCTCCACAAGCCGTATATCCCCATGGAAAAGCCTCCACAGCCGTCAGGGTTGGCTGCAGCCCTTCCCACCAGCCTGGATTTTGCAGAGGTCTCCGTGGGATCAACGGGAAAAGGGCTGGGACAGGCTCCAAAACTGCTCCCAGAATTTTGTTTTTACACAGCAGGTGCAGGCAGGAGATCCAACTCTTGCTTTTCAGTTTTCTGAGGAAGAGCCATTTATCTTCTCTCCTTCCATCTCTTTTCATCACCTCTTTCACCTTCCATCCTCCATGTCCCTCCTTCTCCTTCTGCTTCCCGGTCCTTCCCGCACTCCTCCTCAGTGCTGAGGCTGAAACGAGAGAACCCCAACGTGGGTTCTGTGAAGCCTCTGTCTCCTTCTCACTGTGGAGGAGAAAAGGAGGGTGAAGGTTCAGGGTGGGATATTTTTGTTTGTGGTGACTGGATTTCAGTGGGGTTTGGGTGTGGTGAGGCCTGGGTTGGGATTTGCTCTCCTGCCATGGTACAGAGACTTTTGGAGTGGTTTTGTTTTTAAATCTGGGCTGTGGCTTTGGTTTCCTCCCGTGCCCATGCCCGTGCTGATGGGATTTGGCCCCGCTGTCACTCTGATTTCTTTGGTTCTCTGAGCTGTGCTGAGCCTCGGGGAGCCCTGGCAGCTCCTCGAGGCCATGCCAGCCAGTCCAGCGTGAGGAAAGCTCTGAAATCCTCTCCTGGGTGGGGACAGAGCTGCCCAAAGAGCTCAGAATTTCATTTTGCTGCTCTAGTGGAGCTTGTGAATCTGCTGCTCTGGAATCCAAGAGGGGCTGGGTCTCGCTGGGGGTGGAGGAGCTTTGCTGTACCCCAAAACCTGGGAAAATCCACCCAAAGAGCACAAACTGAGACTAAAAAAATTCTGCCTGGAGGTTTTGGGGGTAAAGGCCCCAACGTGGGACAGGGAGAACTGGGGGCAGCTTCAGATCCATCCCGGGAGGATGGAGCTGCTCCCTCGTGGTGGAAGGAGGGAGAGAAATCTGCCCCCATTTAGGGCTGAAGGTGCTTCCAGGCAGAGGTGTGAGTGCAGGGGTCTCATGGAAAAGGTGGGGTTAAGGGAGGAAAGAGAAGAAGGAAGTGGCTTTTGGGGAGTCTGGAGGTCTTTGTGTCCCAGGGACGAAGGTCGGGGAGGTATCAGCCACAGGCTTGGTTTACAAACTGCTGCAAGAACCTGGAGAGGAGTAGTTCAGAGATTGGGAAGGAATTCCTCCCTGTGACGGTGGAATGGATTTTCCAGGGCAGCTGTGGCTGCCCCTGGATCCCTGGCAGTGTCCAAGGCCAGGTTGGACACTGGGGCTTGGTGCAGCCTGGGACAGTGGGAGGTGCCCCTGTCCTGGTCCCTTCCAACCCAAACCATTCCAGGATTCCCTGATTCTACAGTTCCATTCCTGGGACATCCTTAGGCCAGATGGGAAATGCCCTTACTTCTAAATTTGGGTTTCCAGGGCAAAGACAGAAGATCCTTCCAGGAGAACACCAGCTAAACCTGGATTTTGAGCCAATTGCTGGAAATCTGGGCTCTGGAACCACAGAACCTGGAATCTCCTGAGTTGGAAAGGACCCACAAAGATCACCCAAGTCCTTCTTCCATCTCCTCTGCAGGGCAGGATGCAGCCATGTCACCACCACAGTCACTCCTGGACCAGGAAGAATGTCAGACCCTGGGCTGTGTTCCATTCAGTCCTGTGGTAAGTCACTTCTCTCCCTCTCAGGATTTTTCATAGAGGTGCACAGAGAGAAATGAAAGACAAAACAATTTCTATTTCTACTCCTTGTTTTCCCATGTGGAATGTGTTTGGAGAATTGTTTCCCTGGAGTAAGTGCTTGGTTGGATTCTGGAGAGGATTGTTTGAGCCTGATGGCCAATCCAATCCAATCCAATCCAATCCAATCCAATCCAATCCAATCCAATCCAATCCAACCCAACCCAACCCAATCCAATCCAATCCTATCCAATCCAACCCAATCCAATCCAATCCAATCCAACCCAATCCAATCCAACCCAATCCAATCCAATCCAATCCAATCCAATCCAACCCAATCCAATCCAACCCAATCCAATCCAATCCAATCCAATCCAATCCAATCCAATCCAATCCAATCCAATCCAATCCAATCCAATCCAATCCAACCGACCTGGGGCTGGGCTCTCAGAGAGGGTCACGAGTTGTGTTGGAGTTAGAGATAGAGAAAGTAGTGTGTAGTTTTAGTCTCTTCCTTTTTAAATAGTATATTAATGTATTTTACCATAGTTATAATAAAGAAATGATTCAACCTTCTGAATTAAATCAAGACATCGTCATTTCTTCCCATTAAGTTCACCTGCATTTACAGAGCAGCTCACAGCAGGGGTGGCTCGGAGGTGTCGCTGTGAGTGTCCCAAACCTGTTCTGCTCCCCCTCCCAGCAGGACTGGGAGCTCTTGAGCAATTCCTGCCCTCCAGCAGCCCAGCTGCAGCCAGGGGCAGGACGGGCTCTGCTGGCAGCGGGCAGGGAACGCTGCCAAGGCCTGAGAGCTGCACCATTTAATCCTGGGCAGAGCCAAGCTGGATTTCAGTGTTTGCTCAGGCCCTGGGAGCACACAGAGCTGCTCCTCTGACGTGGGATCACGGATTTCGCTTCCGTTTGTTCCCTCGTGGGATCATCATAGAAATCTCACACCGCAGCTCTGGAGGTGCTCAAAGAAACAATCCCAGCCCAAATTTCTCCAAACACCCCAATCCTGCCACGGCCTTGGTCCAGGGCAGGGGTAAAGCAGGAGCTCCCTCAGCTGCTGCTCCTCGTAGGTGTTGCCCACCTGGCAGGATGGTAATTAATGTTCCCTGGCAGGTAATTAATGTTCCCTGGCAGCTGGAGCCCAGGACCTGTGGGATTTCCCTCAGGCAATGGAAAACTGGAGGCATAAAGGGGGTGCTGGAAGTGGGGCACCAGCAGGAGCTCTCCAGAGTGCAGAAACCCAGGAGAACATTTCAAACATCCCATCCCAGAGGGTCCAGGCTCATCCAGCTCCTTCTCCCATGTGCTCAGGGGGTGCTGCCCCATCCTTCAGGAACATCCTGGGGAGGAAGGAGGGCACATTTCAGCTGGGGGGGAGTCAAGAGGCAGGAGCTGGCTGGGAAGGGAGATGGGAGCTGGGAATCATGGAATGCTTGTGTGGGAAGGGACTTTAAGGGACCATCCAGTCCCAGGGCAGGGACACCTCCCACTGTCCCAGGCTGCTCCAAGCTCCTCCAACCTGGTCTTGGCCACTTCCAGGGATCCAGGAGCAGCCACAGCTGCTCTGGGAAATCCATCCCAGGGCCTCCCCACCCTCACAGGCAGGAATTCCTTCCTCACATCCAATCCAAATCTTGCCTGATTTAGTTGAAAACCATTCTCCCTTGTCCTATCCAGGTTTCCCTCTCTCGTGCAGATGAAGCTCCAAGGCTGAGAGCCCTGGGAAGCTCCTGGGATGTTGTCAGGGCTCTGCCCCTCCAGGGCAAGGAGGTTTTAATTCATTTTATTCTCCAAACCCCTCTCCATGCATTCCCTGATGTTCCCAGCCTGCATGTTAATCCTCCACCCAGGGACCAGGGATTTAGCATTAATAATCCATGCATAATTCAGTGGCCTGGGGTAAATTCCTGAATTTTTAATGTTTTATTTTGAAGTCCACAAGACGGCTTTCACTGCCAGGGATTTTTTTTCCCTCTTGGGATGGGGGAGAGAGTATTTACCGAGGGCTTCTGGGTGTGCCACTATGGATGTTGGTGCAGCAAATCCCTTAATTATCCCATCAGGTTCCCTTTCCTTTGGTTTTGAAGTGATTGAGTGTTCAGCAAAGTTGTTTTAATCCTGCAAAATCCCTGGTGGATTTGGCTGGGTGTGGCCTGGACAGAGATTTTTTATTACCATTATTTCTCAGTCTGAGTGTTAAAGAGAAGAGTGAGGAGGTGAATGGCCAGAGCTGGATGGGTGTGCCAGACACCTGGATCTGATCCCCGTGGAGACAATTAACACCTTGAGGGACTCTGGCACATTTGGGAGCTGCAAACAGGAGAAAAGGATCCAGGCTTGGGGCAGCGTTCTGGGGGAGGGATGGTCCCTGCAAGCCTGAGGGACCTGCTCTCCATCCCTGAGGGCTCTCCCAGATGGTTTTCCTGGCTCAGGAAGGATCTCTAGATGGTTTTCCTGGCTCAGGAAGGATCTCCCAGATGGTTTTCCTGGCTCAGGAAGGATCTCCCAGATGGTTTTCCTGGCTCAGGAAGGATCTCCAGATGGTTTTCCTGGCTCAGGAAGGATCTCCAGATGGTTTTCCTGGCTCAGGAAGGACGTGGTGGCCCCTCAGAGCCCCACGGGGGTGGCTCCTGTTGGTGCTGGATTTGGTGCCAGGCTCTGCCCAGGAGATCCCCAGGTGGGGATGGACCTTGGACACGGTCTGGAGCTGGGCCAGGGGGGATCAGGCAGGAGATCAAGGCAAGGCTCTTCCCCCAGAGGGTGCTGAACATCTCCCTAGGGATTGCCCACGGGCCCCAGGGCTGCCAGAGCTCCTGGAGCATTTGGACAACACTCTCAGGAACTGGGTGGGATTTTGGGGTTGGACTGGATGATCCTGGGGGTCCCTTCCCACTGAGGTTGTTCCCTGAACAGAGCAGGGCAGGGGCTGGCGTCTCTTCCCTGCTGTTTTTATCCCGGAGGAGCTGCAGGGATTGCTGCTTTGCAGGGAGTTTCTCCTCTCCCAGACCAAACATTTCACCTCTTTGAGCCTTCCTAGCCTGGGATGGAGCGTGTGGATCTGGAGTTAAGGCTCCAAGGACTCTGGCTTGGCTGGGCAGCAGAGCCCTGGCGCTTCCTGAGGGATTGGTGCCACAAAGCACCCGGAATTCCCAAGCCCCTGGCCCCTGCTTGGAGGGGATCACCACCTGAGTGTGCTGGAGGTTCTTTACCCGTCCTTGTGGTCAGTTTTTATCCGTGGGTTTTGCCCATCCTTGTTCTTGGTTGTTTGTCCATCCTCAGACCGTGCTGGGCTCAGTTTCTCTCCCTCCCTGGGACCTGCCCAAGTTTCTCAGCCGTGCCCAGCCCCAGGAGAACGAAGCCCTTGAGGAGCCGGTGCTTAAGTGACCCTTAATTGATTCGGAATAATCCTGACAGGTCCTGGAATCGCCCCTTTCCGACTGAATGGCTCGGGCTGGGTCCGTGTGGATGCCAAGGCTGCTTTGCTTGGCTGCATTCCTCCCTTCCAGCTCCTGCTTTCCTTTAACCCTTCATTTCTCGGCTCCTCCGCAGAATCCAGGAACGAGGATGGTTTTCCCACCCCGTTGTTTCCCTGCAAAGATTCCTCACCTTCCCTGCGCTGGGGCCTGGGGAGCCTGGAGTTCATCATGGGGTTTTTTGGGGGTTTTTTTTGTTGTTTTTTTTTTTTTTTTGTCAGCGTTCTCAGAACAGCTGATTTATTGTTCGTACCTCTGCTATCGACCTGGCAAACTCAGGAGTGACTGGAAGGGGCTGGAGAGGGATGGGAGGGGGGATGGAGGGTCTCAGCTCCAAATTGTCTCATTTTGGGGGAACAGAGAGTGTGGCTGCTCTGCTGAGAGCTCAGATTCCTCTCCAGCCCCTTTCCTGGGGTCCAGGTGGAGCCTGGGCTGTGTTTCCACTGTGCCTTCCTCTGTCCTGGGCCTGTGGGATCCACTTCACCCTTCAAAAGGGACAATTTTCCCCATGTCCTGCTGCCTGTGGCACAAGAGCAGATGTCCCCATCTCCCTGTGCCCTGAGGTTGTATTTCCTCCCAGGCTCCGTCACAGCAGTGATTCCCTGATTCCCTCAATGCCCCTTCCCCTGGATCCCCATTTCCCCCTGTCCATGGGCTTGGATCAATAACACTGATCAATAATCTGCTGGGGGGTGGGGCTGCCCAGGGCATCTCCAGACCCTCCCTGTGCCCCCCTGGGGGGACAAGGGTGGGACACAGGAGGCGTCCAGTGTGGGATTCCTCCCTCCTGCTCTCTGCCTGAGCCCAGCTCAGGCCATCCCCTCTTGTCCCACTGGAGCCTCCAGCCCCCCGCAGCACCCCCAGGAGATTTGGGAGCTGCTCCCACGTTAGCCCTGAGGCTGCAGCAAAGGCTCCTCAGAGTCCCCCTCCCTTTGCAAATCCCAGTCCTGAGGTTCAGCAGCTCTGGGGCAGCAGCTCCCAGGCCTGGAGTGGGGCCCTATCCCTGCATCCTCCCCATACCCAGATCATCCCCGTTCCTGGATCCCCACGCCCTCCCTAACCCTGGGTTATCCCTTTCCCTGAATCCCCACATCCTCCCCATCCGTGCACCCTCCTCATCCCATCCCATCCCATCCCATCCCATCCCATCCCATCCCATCCCATCCCATCCCATCCATCCCATCCCATCCCATCCCATCCCATCCCATCCCATCCCATCCCATCCCATCCCATCCCATCCCATCCCATCCCATCCCATCCCATCCCATCCCATCCCATCCCATCCCATCCCATCCCATCCCATCCCATCCCATCCCATCCCATCCCATCCCATCCCATCCCATCCCATCCCATCCCATCCCATCCCATCCCATCCCATCCCATCCCATCCTCACCCTGCATCCTCTCCATCCCTAAGCCCATCCCTGCATCTCCCCTATCCCGTCCCTCTCCCCATCCCTGCCCTCTCTCCATCCTGTCCCTCTCCCCATCCCGTCCCTCTCCCCATCCCGTCCCTCTCTCCACCCCATCCCTCTCCCCATCCCGTCCCTCTCCCCATCCCGTCCCTCTCTCCATCCCATCCCTCCCCTCTCTCCACCCATCCCTCTCTCAATCCTTTCCCTCTCTCCATCCCATCCCTCTCTCCATCCCGTCCCTCTCTCCATCCCGTCCCTCTCTCCATCCCGTCCCTCTCTCCATTCCTGCCCTCTCCCCACCCCATCCCTCTCTCCACCCCGTCCCTCTCTCCATCCCATCCCTCTCTCCATCCCATCCCTCTCTCCATCCCGTCCCTCTCCCCATCCCGTCCCTTTCTCCATCCCATCCCTCTCTCCATCCCGTCCCTCTCCCCATCCCGTCCCTCTCTCCATTCCTGCCCTCTCCCCACCCCATCCCTCTCTCCACCCCGTCCCTCTCTCCATCCCATCCCTCTCTCCATCCCATCCCTCTCTCCATCCCATCCCTCTCTCCATCCCGTCCCTCTCCCCATCCCGTCCCTTTCTCCATCCCATCCCTCTCTCCATCCCGTCCCTCTCCCCATCCCGTCCCTCTCTCCATCCCGTCCCTCTCTCCGTCCCTGTTCTCTCTCCATCCCATCCCTCTCCCCATCCCGTCCCTCTCTCCATCTCCATCTCCATCCCGTCCCTCTCCCCATCCCTCTCCCCATCCCGTCCCTCTCCCCATCCCTCTCCCCATCCCGTCCCTCTCTCCATCTCCATCTCCATCCCTGCCCTCTCTCCATCCCGTCCCTCTCCCCATCCCGTCCCTCTCCCCATCCTGTCCCTCTCTCCATCCCGTCCCTCTCCCCATCCCTCTCCCCATCCCGTCCCTCTCCCCATCCCGTCCCTCTCCCCATCCCGTCCCTCTCCCCACCTCATCCCTCTCTCCCCATCCCGTCCCTCTCCCCATCCCTGTCCTCTCTCCATCCCGTCCCTCTCTCCATCTCCATCCTGTCCCTCTCTCCATCCCGTCCCTCTCCCCCCGCCGCCTCCCGGCTGCCCTGCGCGGTGCGCTGCCGGTGGTTCGGCTCTGCCGCAGCGCCGCTGCTCCGGGGACGTCGCTGGGAGGCGAAGGCAGCGGCTGCGGGGGCTGCGGGGGCTGCGGGGGCTGCGGGGGCCGCATCCCGCCCGACACATCCCGAGAGAAGGGCTGGAAGGGACCCGCGCCCCGCTCCATCGCCATCCCTCCGAGCCATGACCCAGGGAAAGGTAGGAGGGAGGAGGGAGGCCGGAGCGGGAGGGATGAGCCCGTCCCTGTTCCATAACGGGAGCAGGAAAGGGGTTTGGGGAACAGAGCCACGGGTGGAAGGGGCAGCTGAACCTGCACGGAACCGGCCACGGCGCTGGAAGGGGCTGCGGGGCTGGTTTGGGGGTGATTTTGGGATTGGAGGCTGGTTTAGGGATGATTTTGGGATCGGGGGCTGGCTTAGGGCTGATGGATGCACAGCTCAAGCCCTGTTGGACCTGTGGCCGGTTTTACCCCCCCAAGCCCCCCCAGATCCCGGGTGTCGGGGGCTCTGTGAGCTGTTGGTGCTGTCCTACCCCTGTCCCCACCTGGCAGCACCTCCTGCCCGGCCCGGGGGCTCTGGATTTTGGGGATTTTGGGGTTCTCCGGTGCTCTCAAAGTGAGGAGGGGGGGTTGTGGATCCTCTGCTAGATCATGCACCATCGCCATGGCAACGCTCTGGATGCAGCTCCATCCCTCGGGATCGCCTTGGATATCTGGGAGGTGGGGAGGGGGCTTGCATGAACTCGGCCCCCTAAACCCAAGGGACACGGAAGGACGGGCAAGGACATGGAAGGACAGTCCCTGGGGCCAGGAGGGGAGGTGGCACAGCTGGATCTGCCCCTGGGACACATCCAGCCCGGCCCCTGCTGTGTTTTCAGGCCCTGTGGCCCCAGCTGGAGCCCTGCTCTGCTGCTTTGGGGCTCATCACTACTGCAGCCCCCCAGAGCTGTGGGGACACCACCAGGGCTGAGCTGGCTCCTCCGTGGGCAGCAGAGTTTATCCTGGCAGTTTATCTGTCCCAGGCCCATCTGGAAGGTCAAAGGGATCATGTTCCAAAGGAGTGCTCAGGTGGCCCCAGGTTGGCTCTCTGCTGCAATCCCAAGTCCTCGGAATGCTGGGAAGCTGAGCCTCCACACGGGCAGAGAATGGAAAATTCTGGAGGGCCAAACCAGAGCATTCCTGGGAGCAGCTGACCCAAAATGGGGTAAATGGGAATGGAGAGTTCAGGATTTTCTGCCCAGGAACTGAAAGCTCTTTTTAAGGAGCAGTGTAGGGAGTTTGATGAGAAACAGAAAATTTCTTGGATGGTTTTGGTGTCACATTGAGCCCGAGGCACCACGGGGGGTCTGTGTCTCCGTTCAGACCTCCCTACCTGGAACTTTTCATCCCAATGAGCACCTCCAGGGCTTTCCCATCTCCCCTGAGTGATGGAAACCCTTGCTGGGGGTGCAGGGATGGGCCCGTGTCCAGCGCCTGGGAATGGGGGGCTCCCAGTTCCTGTGGGGCTCCCAGTTCCTGTGTGGCTCCCAGTTCCTGTGTGGCTCCCAGTTCCTGTGGGGCTCCCAGTTCCTGTGGGGCTCCCAGTTCCTGTGTGGCTCCCAGTTCCTGTGTGGCTCCCAGTTCCTGTGGGGCTCCCAGTTCCTGTGTGGCTCCCAGTTCCTGAGCCCTTTCCAGAATCTGTCCGTGCCAGCTTCTCATCCAGAGCGGTTTCTGGGATGCTTTTACTCAGATCTCTCTCTCTCTCTTTGCCCCTTTCTCTGCAGCTCTCCGTGAACAACAAACCCCCCAGCTCTGAGGGGCAGGGGGACAAGAAGGACAATGCCACAGCCCCCCCGGCTCCTCCGTCCTATGAGGAGGCGACAGCGGGAGAAGGGATGAAATCCGGAGCTTTTCCTGCCCCACCCGCAGCCCAGCTCCACCCCAGCTGGGCTTATGTGGATCCCAGTAAGTCCTTCCATGGCTGTGCTGGGGTGAGCCCTGGGAGAGGGGCAGAGATCCCCCAGGATTGGAGAGGAGAGAGGGAACCAGGATGAGAGGGGGACCGGGGATGAGAGGGGGAGCGGGGATGTGGTGCCCAGTTTGGCCCACCCAGGGTGGAGGTGCAGCTGTGAGCTGTGAGCCTCTGTCTGCACAGGAGAATCTCTATCAATGTGGAAAAGTTTCCATCTACACATAAAAGTCTATTTTTGTGAATAAAAGCCATTCCAGCTGTCCCAGAGACCTCACCCCCTTCCAGACGTGGGAGTAAACTCCTTCCAGTCCCATGGTGGGAGAAATCCCCATTCCCAGCTCGCTGCCCTGAGCAATCCCAGTTCCTGGGGCTGGAGGGAAAGTCCTGGAGCAGCTGGATCCCCCCACCCCCTCCTGCAGCTCCTGCTCAGCCCCAGCTCTCAGAGCAGCTGAGGTGGCACAACTGGTGTCACAGTTGGTGTCACAGCCCTGAGTGTGGCTGTTGGCAGAGCCAGGGAGGCTGGGACGGGGCTGGAGCCAAAGGCTGGATTGTTCCAGCATCCTTCTGGCCGTTCCTGGGCAAACCAGCAGTTTTTCCAACAGCCAGCAGCTCCCTGGAGCTTCTGCTGGGCCGTAGCAAAGGACAGAGCCCTGGCTATGCCCAGGCTTGCAAGTGGGGCTGGAGCAGGATGGGGTGACTGGGAAGTGACCCTGAGGGTGGCTAAGTGCTCCCTCAGCACAGTTCCAGCCAGAGAAAATGCTGGAATTATGGGATTTAGGGACTCCTGAGCCCTTGCCCTGCTCCATCCTTTGCTGCCTGTTGTACCCAGCTGCAGGGATGGGACGCTTGAGGAGGGGAAGGAGTGAAAACGTCCCCTGTGCTGGAATATTCTGATGGTTTCTCAGCCTTTCCCCTGAGGAACAGGATAAACCCCCCCAGGTGCCTCTGGGGATCATCTGGAGTTTTCTGCTGTTGTGATGAATTGGGGTGGGTGAGGCATAAATGGGGTGGGATGGGGTATTTGGGGTTCAGGGGGTGGGATGGGGTATTTGGGTCTCCAGATGGGAAACCCACTCTATGGGATGTGTCACACCTCACTGGGAGCACCCGGAGAGAAGGGATGTGGATTTGGGGTTGTTTCTGTGACCATGAACTCAGGACACTCTGTCCTGCTGTGGCCTCGGATGGGGGGACAGAAGTGGGGACACCAGGAGGGAGGAGGAGGAAACCCTCTGGATGCTGGAAGGGAGGGAAGAGGGTGAAACCCTTCAGCTCCTCTGGGGCACTGAGGTGCCAGCTGGGTGTTTTGGGGCCAATTTGGTGTTTAGGGGCCAATTTGGTGTTTTGGGGCCAATTTGATGTTTAGGGGTCAATTTGGTGTTTAGGGGCTGGGATTGCTTTGGTGCAGGAGGTTTGGAAGTGTCCTAGGGATTGTCCCCAGATACTGTGGGACCGGTGAGAGATCCAGGAGAACACGCAGGAGGTTCAGCTCCAGTGGGGCAGGAAGGAAGGACCAAGGGATTTACTGACAACAGAACAGCAGCAGAGAATTGTTTCCAGCTGGGGGCACCTAAGTGAAGCTCCTGCATTTTGAATGAGCAATTTTGGTCAGGAAAACAGGAGAAAATCAGGACCAGGACCTTGAGTTTGGTGTCTGCTCTGAGATTGAGAGGGTCTTTGCTCTGTCTTCCTGAAGGATTTGGGTATCCCTGAGCTTTAGGAGGAGGGGAAGCGTCTGTGGACCAGGCAGGGACAGGAAGGTAAAGCAGGAAAATCCCACGAAAGTCCTTCTGTGGAAACCCAGCATGGAGGACTTCAGCAAGGGAAGGAAAGAGGGCACAGAATGATCACAGAGTCATGGAATGGTTGGGGTGGGATGGGACCTTTAAGCCCATCCAGTCCTACCCCTGCCACAGCCAGGGACACCATCCACTGCCCCACGCTGCTCCAAGCCCCATCCAGCCTGGCCTGGCCAGGGGAAACCAGCAGCAGGAGCTTCCCTTCCTGCTTGGGCAGAGCAGGGGTTACTTGTGCAGGGATTTGAGGATTTGGGGGAAGGTTTTTCTCACTGGTAGCATTGGAGATGTTTCCTCCTTTTTCAGGCTCGGTGCTTAACTGTTTCCTGAGTCCCTGCATGGAAATGGGATTGAGGGATGGAGCTCAGGGAGCTGCCAGAGATGTTGTTGACAAAAGCCACGATGCAAACAGAGCTCAGGAGAGCAGCGAGGGAATTCCTGCTGCTCCCTGGGAACGCTGAGTCACGGCTGCTCTGGGGATGTTTTACCATCCAGTAAAGGAGAGCCAGGGATGATCCCATCCCTCCCATCGCTGTGGAAGGTTTGGTGTTTCCTCAGACAAGGATTCAGCCTGCTGCTGGGATGGTTGGTGGGAATGCTCCCCCTCTGTCCCCAGGGAGCCGCAGGAGCAGGAAGGGAGCAGAGGAACCCCTGGGAATTTGGGGTACCTGAGCTGTGAGTGCTCCCTGGGCTCGGGTCCCACAGCTGGGGGGGAATTGGGGTGGGAGCTGCTCCTCTGGCCTCTCTGCAGGCACCAGCCCCAGCTACGGCAGCGGGGGGTACCCGGGGGACACGGAGCTGCTCACGACCTTCAGCTGGGACGACCGGAACGTGCGCAGGGTGTTCATCAGGAAGGTGAGGCAGGGACACGTCCCTCCCCCTCGGGGCCCTTGGAGGGCCTCACTGGGCTCTGGGATCCATGGATCACCCCCTCTCCCTGCAGGTTTACGCCATCCTGATGGTCCAGCTCCTGGTCACCGTTGTCATAGTGGCTTTCTTCACCTTCTGGTGGGTGCTGGGTGTGTCCTGAGCCCTCTGAGACCTGGGCAGGTTCCCGGGGTTGTGTCACACCTGGATTCTTTCTGAGTGTTCCAATAGAACAGCAGAGCTGAGGGAGCACTCAGAGGTCCCTGAGTCCTTTTGCTCCCATTCCCACCCATGCTCAGGGTGGGATCATCCATCCTGGGTGCTCCCCTGGGCAGTGACTGCTGGGTTTTCCCTGTGGGAGTCACCAGATCCCAGCTCCAGGGGCTGCCTTCCCTCCCCTGCTCATCCCCCTCTCCAGCTCGGATGACCGAGCGCTCTGGGTGCCTGTGGCTCATGTTGCCTCCAGAATAAATAATGGATCACTGCCAGCCTGAGGATTTGGGCTCCCTGATCCCCTGTGGGAGCCATTCCCAGCCAGCTCCAGTGTGGAACTGGGGGAGCAGCACCTTGCAGCTGGAGTTGCTGTCCAGGTGCAGGCTGCTGAGAGGATTCCCCAGGGGTGGGTTTTAATCCCTGTGCTGGGGCTGCTCCTGGGCTCATTGAGCTCTGAGGGACTGAGTTCTTCCTGCTCAGGCTCTTTCCTTCTGTCTTGCAGTGAACCAGTCAAGGGCTACATCCAGACCCACTCCGCCTGGTACTGGGCTTCCTAGTGAGTATCCCTGGCTTTTCCTGCAGCCTCCTGTGCTCCAGGCAGCCCAGAGGGGCTGTGGGGATGTGGGAAGGGTCTGCAACAATTCCCAAACACTTCCCTGCATGTGAAGCATCACTCCGAAGTGTCCAGGGGCAGCTGGGGAAGGCCATGGAATCATGGGGTGGGGTGGGTTGGGAGGGACCTCAGAGCCCATCCAGTGCCCCCCTGGATGGGCAGGGACACCTCCCACATGCCAGGCTGCTCCTGAATGAGCGAGAGACACGGGAGAGGAGAACTCCAAACACTTCCCCGAAAATGGCTCTAGAAACCAGGGTTGAAAAAAATACCAATTTCCTGCAGAAAGCCAGAGAAAACCGGGGAGTTTCCAGGGAAACCGTGTAGAAACTCCTACGTGAGACCTGGAAGGGTGTTCAGGGTACCTTAGAGGCTTGATTTTGGGAAGCTCCAAAGATCTCCTTGCAGAGCTGTCAGGAAAACACTGCAGAACCCCATATCTGACACCTGGGAGGATGCTCAGGGCACCATGGAGGCTGAATTTTGGGATTTTCCCAGTGGATATGGGGGGGTGGGTGGATTTGGAGGTGTTGGGATGTTCCTGGTCATGTCTGAGTGGGGCTCTCGCTCCTGAGGCTCCATCCCAGAGCCCCAAATTTGGGCTGCCAGTCCTTGGTTCCCCCAGCCCAGCCCAGAACGGAGCTCCCAGGTGCCAGCATCTCCTGGCTCCGTGCTTTCCAGGCCGCTGGCAGGGTCAGTGCAGCTCATTAAGTGTGAGGTGAACTCAGCTTTAATCAGTTCACACCCAAATCAGGAGATGAGACACCGGCTTATGTAACCTGGGAGAACCCTCCAAGCAGCAGCTCTGGGGCACCAGGAGGGAACCAAAGGCTCTCCAGAGGGCAGCTGGGCTTGGAGAGGCAGTGTCACCTCCCAGGGGACAGGGAGAGGACGCTCTGGTCCCCACCTTGGCCTCTGGGGTCGCCTCTTCCAGCTCCCTGCCCAGATGGAGTTTATTCCCTGCATTTCCCAGGAGGATCACTTTTGGGGCAGCTGGGGGGGTCTGTCCTGGAGGAATTCCCCCCTGTGCCCAGGTGAGACCCACCTGCAGAGCTGCTCCAGCCCTGGGCCCGCACGGGGAGGATGAGGAGCTGCTGGAGAGAGCCCAGAGGAGCCCCGGAGCTCCTCTGGAGCCGGGCTGGGAGAGCTGGGGGTGCTCACCTCACTGCAGGCAGAGCTCCGAGCCCTGCCAGGGCCTGGAGGGGCCCCAGGAGAGCTGCAGAGGGACTGGGGACAAAGATGGAGGGACAGGAGCCAGGGAATGGATTGCTGGTGCCAGGGCAGGGATGGGTGGGAGATTGGGCAGGAATTCCTCCCGTGAGGGTGGGCAGGGCTGGGATGGATTTCCCAGAGCTGCCCCTGGGTCCCTGCAGTGCCCAAGGCCAGGCTGGATGAGCTCAGAGGAACCTGGGGCAGTGGGAGGTGTCCCTGCCATGGCAGGGGTGGGAATGGGGTGGATTTTAAGGCCCACCCAGGCCATTCCATGACTCTGATGTTTTTTCACTGCCCAGTGAGCTGAGCCCTTCCCTTCATTCCAGTGTCTCCAAATGTTTTTCCTGCTCTGTGCCTGGGTCTCCTTCCTAACCAGAGACCTCTGTAAAACAAACCTGGGAGCGCCAGGATGTTTTCCCAGAGCTGGGATGGCACCTCAGCAGGAATAAGGAGCAGACAGGGATGGGTGACCCCCCAGCTCTGTGCTCCCAACAGTCTCTCTCCAGCTGCTCAGCCGTGTCCAGCCTGGCTTTCCTGGTTTCCCAGTGGGAGAGCTGGGCCTGGGTTTATCTCTGTGCCCTGGATCTCGTGGCCCTGGGCTCTGCCCTCACCTCCTGCCTTGGCTGAGGGTCAGCGGCTATCGGGAGCCATCAGGAACTGCTGCCCTGGGGGAAGCAGCTTCCAGAGCCTGGAAAAACACCCAGCTGCAGGCAGGAGAGCCTCCTTCAGCTCTGGGGCTGCTGTGCTTTCAGAGGGGTCAATGCTGGGAGGTAAAACCTGCCAGGACCTGGGCAGGGATGAGCAGCCACGGCACGTTGGGCTCTGCTGAGCTGGGAGGATCCTCCTGCCCTGGGCTTGTCCCTCAGCGCTTTTCTGAGTGGATCCTCCTGCCCTGAGCCCTTCCTCAAGTGCTCTAGCAGGGGAATTCTGGAATGGGTTGGGTTGGAGGGACCTTAAAGTCCATCCAGTGCCACCCCTGCCATGGACAGGGACACCTCCCACTGTCCCAGGTTATTCCAATCCCTGTCCAGCCTGGCCTTGGGCACTTCCAGGAATGGAAAGTCCAAAACTTCCCATTCCTGGAGGGATGTACTGAGGGAGCAGCTCCCTCCTCCAGCACAGCTCTTCCAGCCCTGCCTGAGCCTGGTCACTTTTCCAGCCCTTGGTTTAAGAACCTCCAGCCTTGACACCCTCAAGCTGCGAAGGGTTTGGAAACGAGGGGCAAAGCCTGACCCCTCAAAACCATGGAATCTGGAATTGTGAAGGTGGGGAAAGCCCCCAGAGAACATCGAGTCCAACCACCAACCCTCCCCTCACCGCTGGCCATGTCCTCCAGTGCCACATCCACAGGCTTTGGGCACTTCCAAGGATGGGATTCCACCACTCCCATGCCTGACCTTCCTTTCCATGAAGGAACGTTTCCCAAGAGCCAACACAAACCCGGTTCCTGCCCTGTTTGCCATTAACACATTTGGGTGCTCTCCAGGGTCTGAACCTGACCTTGGCTCTGCTCTAATCCAGCCCCCAGCTTCTCCAGGGATGTTTTATCCCACCCTGGCACATGCAGAGGAGATCCCTGAGGGCAGGAAGGAGCTTAGTGAGAGGGACCAGGGGTAGGAACTACCCTGACCCACTGGGTGTCTGCATTTCCAACATCCCATCCCAGGGAGTTCCCCCTTGTTATAAATGAAAATTTGTCCAGCCAAATTAATATGAAAAATAAAATATTTATTTTACAATCAAATTTTATCTAGCCAGACACAAGGAAAGAACAGAGCCGAGCCCGGGGTCAGCACCAAAAGTCAGCCTCAGCAGAGGTTTTCCTCCATGCCCACACACCTCCATCCTGGCACAAGCGGTTTTTATAGGGAAAAATCGGTTTTTATAGGGAAAATTCCACCTGAGGCCAAGATTTCAGCAATCAGTCTTTTCTTCTATTCAGAGTCCATATGTTAATAAGATTTTCTTTTTTGGTGATGAGGGAGAACAAATCACTGTCTGGAGTTTGTTGAATCCTTTGGGGAACGCTGTATTCACATGTATCTGCCTCAGGATTTCCATGATATCCATCTTGGGTCGATGAGCACCTGGGGTTTCTGTATCTCCCCAGCCATGGCCCATCTCCTGGTGTCCCCAAATCCCACCACACATGGCCCATCTCCTGGCCAGCTGTACCTTCTTACTTGTAAATCAGTTTCCAATCTACACCCGGTCTCACCTGTGCCTGTGAGGGTGTGGGGGGAATCCTAATACTCTATATACTCTAACAAATATTCAATATCACATATATCCTATTAGAAATGGTGCAAATTATATCTACTACACATAACACCCCTGCTCCACCCTCCTGGGCCACCTTTCCCCCCTGAGCTCTCCCTCTCTCCTTCCAGCGCCGTGTTCTTCGTCACCTACCTGATCCTTGCCTGCTGCTCTGGGCCCAGGTAGGGGGAAGGCTCTGGGGTTTGGGACAGCCTGGGGAGTGCAACAGGAATGTTTTCCTCAGTTTTCCAGCCCTGTTACGGGCAGGGATGAAGCTGCTGTTTCCATGGGATCATGGAATGGTTGGGGTTGGGTTGGGAGGGATCTCAAAGCCCATTCAGTGCCACCGCTGCCATGGGCAGGGACACCTCCCACTGTCCCACGGTGCTCCAAATCCCATCCAGCCTGGCCTTGGACACTTCCATGCTCTGGGGAACCTGTTCCAGATGCTGGAAACAGCTGTTCCAGGCCTTGGGTTGCTGCAGCTCAGGAGTCCATTTGCAGCTGTGACTTCTGGCAGAGACGTTCCCCCATTTGCAGCTCTGGATTGTGGGAATTAAACATTCCAGAGGATGCTCTTGTCAGCTCCCAGTGGAGCAGGAATATCCTGGGGACCCCAAATGCCCGTGGCTGCCAGCAGGGTCACTGTGCCCGGCACTGCCCCAGCACTTGCATGGCCGTGAGCTACCCAGCAGGGTCATTAACGGCCATTAATTACCCTCACAGTCGCTAATTACCCTCGTGGCACAGCCCCTGCTGACTGGCCCCTGTTTCCTTTGCAGGAGATACTTCCCATGGAATCTGATCCTGCTCAGCATCTTTGTGAGTAGCACATCTGGCCAACATCTGCCCTGAGGTCAGAGTGGCTCCAGTGGGTGCAAGGCTGGCATTCCTGGGGAAAAGTGGGAATTTCATCCCCTTCTTGTCCTGTGCTTGGGCTGAGGAGCTGTGGTTGCACTTGGATGGGAGAAGCTGGGAAAAAAGAGAGCCTCTGTTTGTTAAAAAATGCAAAAAATAATCTTGGAGTCTGGTGGGAACTGGGATTGGAGCTGGGGTGAGAACTGGAATGGGAACCAGGATGGAAACTGGGATGGGAACTGGAGTGGGAATAGGGATAGGAGCTGAGATGTGCTGGGATGGGAGCAGGGATGTGGGATGGGATTTGGGATGTGGGATGGGAGCTGGGATGGGAGCTGGGATATGGGATGGGAGCAGGGATGTGGGATGGGATGTGGGATATGGGATGGGAGCAGGGATGTGGGATGGGATGTGGGATGGAATATGGGATGTGGGATGGGAGCTGGGATGTGGGATGGGATATGGGATGGGAGCTGGGATGTGGGATGGGAGCAGGGATATGGGATGGGAGCTGGGATGTGGGATGGGGGCAGGGATGTGGGATGGGAGCAGGGATGTGGGATGGGGGCAGGGATATGGGATGGGAGCTGGGATGTGGGATGGGAGCAGGGATGTGGGATGGGAGCAGGGATGTGGGATGGGATGTGGGATATAGGATGGGAGCAGGGATGTGGGATGGGAGCAGGGATGGCAGCTGGGACCTGTGCAGGAGGGATGCAGGAGCAGGGGATGCTCCCGTGCTGTTTGCCCTCCCTCTGCCCTCTCCTGTGCCCATCAATCACTGGAGGGTTCCCAATGCTGCCCAAATTCCTTCTCCTGGGAGTCTGAGGGGCTTCCCTGCCCTTTTCTCTGGGATTGAGGGACTAACCTGGCTGTGCTTTCCCCCAGACCCTGTCCATGGCCTATCTCACTGCAATGCTCTCCAGGTGGGTTGGGCACTGTCCTGTGTCCTGTCTCTTCCTGAAAACATTCCTTATTCCTGGTTGGTTTTTTGTTTATACCTTATTTTTGTTTATACCTTATTTTTGTTTATACCTTATTTCTTGGCCACCTGAGCTGTCCCACAAAGCTGCAGCTTCCCTGGGAAAACACTTTCCAAGGAAGGTTTCCAAGGCCTGTCCCTGTCCCAAGGGAGGCAGCACTGGGGGATTCCCACATCCCAAATCCTGCCAGCACCTGGATGGGCTGGAGGCGACCAGGCAGTGATCCCACACTTCTCACTGGGCAGGTCCCAGGCAGTGGGGCTGCAGTGAGCCAGGAGCTTTTTCCAGCACTTTCAGGAATTTGTATCCCACAGCCTGTTCCCTTCCCTCATTTGCCCCGGGAAATCTGCTCCTGGCTCACGTGGGAGCCTGGAGAGAGGGACACGATCCAGGGGGGGTGAGGGATGTGTTGGGACAAAGAAATCCGCAGCCTCAGCAGCTCCAGGGGGAAAACTCCAGTGACTCCACACAAATCCCCCCAGGGAGAGCAGGACTGGCTTTTCCAAGGGCTGAGCCCGACACTGCAGCCAAACCCTGATCCAGCCTGGAAACCATTCCAGCCTGAGCCTGCAGCCCCTGTCCTGCTCCAATCCCTCCTTCCTGCACTTTTCCAAAACCTGGACTCAGCAGGAGCCCAGGGGCTGCTCCTTTGGCTTCCCCTCACGCTGAGGTGACTTTTGTCACCTCCTCGTCAGGATCTTCCCCATTCCCTGTCTGTGGACAGTGGGATTGGTGGTCTTGGAGCTGCTCCGAAGCTCTGGGAGGCCCAGATGGACCCTCCTGCCTTCCCTCCATCCTTCAAAACAGCAGGAAAACACATCCTGCCATTTTTCTCTCCTTTTTTAACATTAGTGTGGAATATTGATTATTCCAGTGCTGTTTGTGCCCGCAGGATTTATGCTTTCCTTGCCCAGCTCTGCCTGTCTGAATCCCCTTTCCCATCCCTGTGGGAATGATCCAAACGTGGTTTTCCTGGTTATTTGCAGTTACTACAACACCAAGTCGGTGCTGCTGTGCCTGGGGATCACGGCCCTGGTCTGTCTGTCCGTCACCATCTTCAGCTTCCAGAGCAAGGTGGGGCTGGGGAAGGCCCATGTGGGGCAGGACAGGGAGCTGGGGGGGCTGGGAGGGTCTGGGGGGCTCTGGGGGCAGGACCACCCCGAGGGACAGGGGGTGGCACGAGGAGATCAGAGTGGAGCAGGACATGTGCTAGGGTGGGATGTGTCTGGGATGTAAGGGGGGCTAGGAGATGCTGATAACTGGGAATAAAATGAGATTTTTGTGGGTTGGGGTGGGGTTAGAAGATGCTGATAAATGAGAATAAAATGGGATTTTGTGGATTGGGGTGGGAGCTAGAAGATGCTGATAACTGGGAGTAAAATGAGATTATTCTTTTGCGGATTGGGGCATGCCATAGGTGTAAATGGGACTGGAAGTTGCTGATGTGTGGGAATAATCTGGGAGTTTTGGAGGATTGGGATTGGGCTGGAAGAGGCTGCATGGGGGTAAATTTCAGCGGGTTGGGCTGTGGGATACAGGAGGACACTTGTGCATGATGGATTTGGGATTCCTGGTGCATGGAGGGGCCTGAGCCCTCCCCTGTGGCACTGACGGGGATTTGGGAAGTGCTGGTTCAGGCCAGGGGGTGGCTGTGGGGATGGAGAGGCAGAACCAGTGCAGGAGGGTCCCAGAGCAGCCCTGGAACAGGAATTCCTCCCTCCCGCCGCAGTTCGACTTCACCTCGTACCAGGGCGTGCTCTTCGTGCTGCTCATGGTGCTGTTCCTGGGGGGGCTGGTCCTGGCTGTCATCCTGCCCTACCAATACGTGAGTCAAAACTGGGCCAAACTGGGCCAAACTGGGCCAAACTGGGCCAAACTGGGCGTGCTGGGAGGGGCCCCAGCTCCCTGGAAATGGGCAGGGACCCCCATGGAGGGATGGAGGAGCAGGGATGGACCATGGTGTGGCTCAGGGATGGAACTGGCCCAGGGCTGAGGGCGTTTCCTGCTGTCCTTGGTGACGGAATCATGGAAAGATTTTGGTCAAAGCCCATAAAATCCCACCCCTGCCATGGGCAGGGACACCTCCCACTGTCCCAGGCTGCTCCAGCCTGACCTTGGGCACTTCCAGGGATCCCGGGGCAGCCACGGCTGCTCTGGGAAATCCATCCCAGAGCCTTCCCAAACACACAGGGAACAATTCCTTCCCAATGTTCCGTCCATTCCCTGTGTCCTGAGCCTCCTGTGTGTCCATAAGGGACAGTGACCCCTGTGTGTCCCCAAGGGACAGTGACCCCTGTGTGTCCCTGAGGGACAGTGACCCCTGTGTGTCCCCAAGGACAGTGACCCCTGTGTGTCCCCAAGGGACAGTGACCCCTGTGTGTCCCTGAGGGGCAGTGACCCCTGTGTGTCCATAAGGGACAGTGACCCCTGTGTGTCCCCAGGGACAGTGACCCCTGTGTGTCCCTGAGGGACAGTGACCCCTGTGTGTCCCTGAGGGGCAGTGACCCCTGTGTGTCCATAAGGGACAGTGACCCCTGTGTGTCCCCAGGGACAGTGACCCCTGTGTGTCCCTGAGGGACAGTGACCCCTGTGTGTCCATAAGGGACAGTGACCCCTGTGTGTCCCTGAGGGACAGTGACCCCTGTGTGTCCATAGGGGACAGTGACCCCTGTGTGTCCCCAAGGACAGTGACCCCTGTGTGTCCATAAGGGACAGTGACCCCTGTGTGTCCCCAAGGACAGTGACCCCTGTGTGTCCCCCAAGGGGACAGTGACCCCTGTGTGTCCCTGAGGGACAGTGACCCCCCTGTGTGTCCATAAGGGACAGTGACCCCTGTGTGTCCCCAAGGGACAGTGACCCCTGTGTGTCCCCCAGGGACAGTGACCCCTGTGTGTCCCCCCAGGGACAGTGACCCCTGTGTGTCCATAGGGACAGTGACCCCTGTGTGTCCATAAGGGGACAGTGACCCCTGTGTGTCCCTGAGGGACAGTGACCCCTGTGTGTCCCTGAGGGACAGTGACCCCTGTGTGTCCCCCAAGGGACAGTGACCCCTGTGTGTCCCTGAGGGACAGTGACCCCTGTGTGTCCCTGAGGGACAGTGACCCCTGTGTGTCCCTGAGGGACAGTGACCCCTGTGTGTCCCCCAAGGGACAGTGACCCCTGTGTGTCCCTGAGGGACAGTGACCCCTGTGTGTCCCTGAGGGACAGTGACCCCTGTGTGTCCCCAAGGACAGTGACCCCTGTGTGTCCCCAAGGGGACAGTGACCCCTGTGTGTCCATAAGGGGCAGTGACCCCTGTGTGTCCCCCCGGGGACAGTGACCCCTGTGTGTCCCTGAGGGACAGTGACCCCTGTGTGTCCCCAAGGGGACAGTGACCCCTGTGTGTCCCTGAGGGATAGTGACCCCTGTGTGTCCATAAGGGACAGTGACCCCTGTGTGTCCCCAAGGACAGTGACCCCTGTGTGTCCATAAGGGACAGTGACCCCTGTGTGTCCCTGAGGGACAGTGACCCCTGTGTGTCCCTGAGGGACAGTAACCCCTGTGTGTCCCTGAGGGACAGTAACCCCTGTGTGTCCCCCAGGGACAGTGACCCCTGTGTGTCCCCAAGGACAGTGACCCCTGTGTGTCCCTGAGGGACAGTGACCCCTGTGTGTCCATAAGGGGCAGTGACCCCTGTGTGTCCCCCCAGGGACAGTGACCCCTGTGTGTCCCTGAGGGACAGTGACCCCTGTGTGTCCATAGGGGACAGTGACCCCTGTGTGTCCCTGAGGGGACAGTGACCCCTGTGTGTCCATAAGGGACAGTGACCCCTGTGTGTCCCTGAGGGACAGTGACCCCTGTGTGTCCCCAAGGGACAGTGACCCCTGTGTGTCCATAGGGGACAGTGACCCCTGTGTGTCCCTGAGGGACAGTGACCCCTGTGTGTCCCTGAGGGGACAGTGACCCCTGTGTGTCCATAAGGGACAGTGACCCCTGTGTGTCCCTGAGGGGCAGTGACCCCTGTGTGTCCCTGAGGGACAGTGACCCCTGTGTGTCCATAAGGGACAGTGACCCCTGTGTGTCCCCAAGGGACAGTGACCCCTGTGAGTCCATAAGGGACAGTGACCCCTGTGTGTCCATAGGGGACAGTGACCCCTGTGTGTCCCCAAGGGGACAGTGACCCCTGTGTGTCCCCGAGGGACAGTGACCCCTGTGTGTCCCTGAGGGACAGTGACCCCTGTGTGTCCATAAGGGACAGTGACCCCTGTGTGTCCCCAAGGGACAGTGACCCCTGTGTGTCCCCAAGGACAGTGACCCCTGTGTGTCCCCGAGGGACAGTGACCCCTGTGTGTCCCCAAGGGGACAGTGACCCCTGTGTGTCCCCGAGGGACAGTGACCCCTGTGTGTCCCTGAGGGACAGTGACCCCTGTGTGTCCCCAAGGGACAGTGACCCCTGTGTGTCCATAAGGGACAGTGACCCCTGTGAGTCCATAAGGGACAGTGACCCCTGTGTGTCCCTAAGGGACAGTGACCCCTCTGTGTCCATAAGGGACAGTGAACCCTGTGTGTCCATAAGGGACAGTGACCCCTCTGTGTCCATAAGGGACAGTGAACCCTGTGTGTCCCTGCGGGACACTGACCCCTGTGTGTCCCCAAGGGGACAGTGACCCCTGTGTGTCCCCAAGGACAGTGACCCCTGTGTGTCCCCAAGGGGACAGTGACCCCTGTGTGTCCCCAAGGACAGTGACCCCTGTGTGTCCATAGGGGACAGTGACCCCTGTGTGTCCCCAAGGGGACAGTGACCCCTGTGTGTCCCTGAGGGACAGTGACCCCTGTGTGTCCCCAAGGACAGTGACCCCTGTGTGTCCCCCCAGGGACAGTGACCCCTGTGTGTCCATAAGGGACAGTGACCCCTGTGTGTCCATAAGGGACAGTGACCCCTGTGTGTCCCCAAGGACAGTGACCCCTGTGTGTCCCCAAAGGACAGTGACCCCTGTGTGTCCATAAGGGACAGTGACCCCTGTGTGTCCCCAAGGGGACAGTGACCCCTGTGTGTCCATAAGGGACAGTGACCCCTGTGTGTCCCCAAGGGACAGTGACCCCTCTGTGTCCCCAAGGGGACAGTGACCCCTGTGTGTCCCTGAGGGACAGTGACCCCTGTGTGTCCATAAGGGACAGTGACCCCTGTGTGTCCCCAAGGGACAGTGACCCCTGTGTGTCCCTGAGGGACAGTGACCCCTGTGTGTCCATAGGGGACAGTGACCCCTGTGTGTCCCTGAGGGACAGTGACCCCTGTGTGTCCCCAAGGGGACAGTGACCCCTGTGTGTCCCCCAGGGACAGTGACCCCTGTGTGTCCCCAAGGGACAGTGACCCCTGTGTGTCCCCAAGGACAGTGACCCCTGTGTGTCCATAAGGGGACAGTGACCCCTGTGTGTCCCTGCGGACAGTGACCCCTGTGTGTCCCCAAGGGACAGTGACCCCTGTGTGTCCCCAAGGACAGTGACCCCTGTGTCTCCTGCTTCCTCTGGGCCACAGCAGGGGCTCAGCTTTGCTCCCAGTTCTGGTGAAATTCCCCCTGTGACTCCCACGGATTAACAGATTTAAATTGTGCTTGTTAATTAGAATCATGGAGTATCCTAAGGAGGAAGGGGCACACCAGGGTCATCCAGTCCATGTCCTGGTCCTGCCCAGGACATCCCAACCATCCCTTGTGCCTGGGCATTGTCCCAGTGCTCCTGGAGCTCCAGCAGCCCAGGGGAGCTGCTCCAGTGGAGGAAGAACCTTTTCCCAATATCCAGCCCAAACCTCCTCTGACACAGATCCCACAGCTGTTCCCTCAGGCAAATTAAAGCTGGGTCCGGCTCTTGGAATATTTGGTGTTTCTACCGGTGGGATCAGCTGTGTTTGGGTAAATAAATCCATTCTGGGGGTGCTCCAAAGTGTTCCCATCACGAGGGTGCTGAGACTGGGACACGTGGCTTCCCCAGCCCTGGAAGTGTCCAAGGCTGGACCAGGCTTGGAGCAGCCTGGGATGGTGGGAGGTGTCCCTGCTCATGGCAAGGGTGGGATTGGATGGGCTTTAAGGTCCCTACCCACCCAAACCATTCCAGGATTTCCACAGGACATTACTGGGGCCACGTGCTGCTTGCAGTGAAGAGTACCTGATGGAGAAGTTGAAACGGATACAAAGGGAGGAGAGGAGCTGAGGGCCCGTGTCCTGTTCTGTGCCCCAGAAACGCTCCCAAGGAACCGTAGAAGCTGAAGTGGTGCAAACCCAGTAGGGCTTTGAGGGCATTCCCCAAGCTTCCCCCTCCACATGGGAGCCAAGTCCCTTGGGAGTGAAGTCCTGCACAGCCCATTCTGTGCAGCTCTGACAGCTGTGTCCGTGTGTCCCTGTCCATGTGTCCGTGTCCCTGTGTCCCTGTGTATGTGTCTGTGTCCCTGTGTCCCTGTCCCTCTGTCCCTGTCCCTGTGTCTGTGTGTCCCTGTGCATGTGTCTGTGTCCCTGTGTCCCTGTCCATGTGTCTGTGTCCCTGTGTCCCTGTGTATGTGTCTATATCTGTGTGTCCCTGTCCATGTGTCTGTGTCCATGTGTCCATGTGTCCCTGTCCACATCTGTGTGTCCCTGTCCATGTCCGTATGTCCATGTCCATGTGCCCATGTCCATGTCCGTGTGTCCCCATCCATGTGTCTGTGTCCATGTGTCCATGTCCGTATGTCCATGTCCGTGTGTCCATGTCCATGTCCGTGTGTCCCTGTCCATGTGTCTGTGTGTCCATGTCCATGTGTCCATGTCCATGTGTCCCTGTCCATGTCCGTTTGTCCCTGTCCATGTGTCTGTGTCCCTGTCCATGTCTGTGTCCGTGTGTCCCCATCCATGTGTCTGTGTCCATGTGTCCATGTGTCCCTGTCCACGTCTGTGTGTCCATGTCCATGTGTCCCTGTCCATGTGTCTGTGTGTCCCTGTCCATGTCTGTATGTCCATGTCCATGTGCCCATGTCCATGTGTCCGTGTGTCCATGTCCATGTGTCTGTGTCCCTGTCCATGTGTCTGTGTGTCCCTGTCCATGTCCGTATGTCCATGTCCATGTGTCTGTGTCCATGTCCATGTCCATGTGTCCATGTCCATGTGTCTGTGTCCATGTCCATGTCCGTGTGTCCCTGTCCATGTGTCTGTGTCCTTCCATGTCCGTGTGCCCATGTCTGTGTCCGTGTGTCCCTGTCCATGTGTCTGTGTCCCTGTCCATGTCCGTGTGTCCCTGTCCCATGTGTCTGTGTCCCTGTCCATGTCCGTGTCCGTGTGTCCGTATCCATGTGTCCCTGTCCCTGTCCATGTATTCACATCTGTGTCCGTGTCAATGTCCCTATCCCTGTATCTCTGTCTCTGTGTTCCTGTGTCCCTGTATCCCCATCCCTGTGTCTGTGTCCATGTCCCCGTCCCTGTATCCCTGTCCCTGTGTCCCCATCCCTGTGTCCCTGTGTCCCTGTCCCTGTGTCCGTGCCCCTGTGTCCCCATCCCTGTCCCTGTCCCTGTGTCCCTGTCCCTGTGTCCCTGTCCCTCTGTCCCTGTCCCTGTGTCCGTGCCCCTGTGTCCCCATCCCTGTGTCTGTGTCCGTGTCCCTGTGTCCCTGTCCCTCTGTCTGTGTCCCTGTCCCCGTCCCTGTGTCCCCATCCCTGTGTCCCTGTCCCTGTGTCCCTGTCCCTCTGTCCCTGTCCCTCTGTCCCTGTCCTTCAGGTCCCGTGGCTCCACGCGATCTACGCTCTGCTCGGGGCTGGGATCTTCACCATGGTGAGTGGCTGCTCCTGGGATCCGGCAGGGAAAACAGGGAGCAGGGAAGGAGCTTGGAGCCGGGCAGGGATGGCAGGGATGGCAGGGATCTGGGCAGGGATCGGGGCAGGGATCCGGGCAGGGATGGCAGAGAGCCGGGCAGAGCCGGGCAGAGCCGGGCAGAGCCGGGCAGGGATGGCAGGGATGGCAGGGATGGCAGGGAGTGGGGCAGGGATGGCAGGGATGGCAGGGATGGCAGGGATGGCAGGGAGCCGGGCAGAGGCGGGCAGAGCCGGGCAGGGAGCCGGGCAGAGGCGGGCAGAGCCGGGCAGAGCCGGGCAGGGATGGCAGGGAACCGGGCAGAGCCGGGCAGGGATGGCAGGGAGCCGGGCAGAGCCGGGCAGAGCCGGGCAGAGCCGGGCAGGGAACCGGGCAGGGAGCCGGGCAGGGAGCCGGGCAGAGCCGGGCAGAGCCGGGCAGAGCCGGGCAGGGAACCGGGCAGAGCCGGGCAGAGCCGGGCAGGGAGCCGGGCAGAGCCGGGTAGAGCCGGGCAGGGATGGCAGGGAGCCGGGCAGAGCCGGGCAGAGCCGGGCAGAGCCGGGCAGGGAGTCGGGCAGAGCCGGGCAGGGATAGCAGGGAGCCGGGCAGAGCCGAGCAGAGCCGGGCAGGGAACCGGGCAGAGCCGGGCAGGGATGGCAGGGAGCCGGGCAGGGATAGCAGGGAGCCGGGCAGAGCCGGGCAGAGCCGGGCAGGGAGCCGGGCAGGGATGGCAGGGAGCCGGGCAGAGCCGGGAAGAGCCGGGCAGGGATGGCAGGGATGGCAGGGAGCCGGGCAGAGCCGGGCAGAGCCGGGCAGGGATGACAGGGAGCCGGGCAGAGCCGGGCAGGGATGACAGGGAGCCGGGCAGAGCCGGGCAGAGCCGGGCAGAGCGGGGCAGGGATGGCAGGGAGCCGGGCAGAGCCGGGCAGAGCCGGGCAGGGATGTCAGGGAGCCGGGCAGAGCCGGGCAGAGCCGGGCAGGGATGACAGGGAGCCGGGCAGAGCCGGGCAGGGATGACAGGGAGCCGGGCAGAGCCGGGCAGAGCCGGGCAGAGCGGGGCAGGGATGGCAGGGAGCCGGGCAGAGCCGGGCAGAGCCGGGCAGGGATGTCAGGGAGCCGGGCAGAGCCGGGCAGAGCCGGGCAGGGATGACAGGGAGCCGGGCAGAGCCGGGCAGGGATGACAGGGAGCCGGGCAGAGCCAGGCAGAGCCGGGCAGAGCCGGGCAGGGATGGCAGGGAGCCGGGCAGAGCCGGGCAGAGCCGGGCAGCGATACGGGAAGAGCCGGGCAGGGATCCGGGAAGAGCCGGGCAGGGATGGCAGAGAGCCGGGCAGAGCCGGGCAGAGCCGGGCAGAGCCGGGCAGAGCCGGGCAGGGAGCCGGGCAGAGCCGGGCAGGGATGGCAGGGAGCCGGGCAGAGCCGGGCAGAGCCGGGCAGAGCCGAGCAGAGCCGGGCAGGGATGGCAGGGAGCCGGGCAGAGCCGGGCAGAGCCGGGCAGAGCCGGGCAGAACCGGGCAGAGCCGGGCAGAGCCGGGCAGGGATGGCAGGGAGCCGGGCAGAGCCGGGCAGAGCGGGGCAGAGCCGAGCAGGGATGGCAGGGAGCCGGGCAGAGCCGGGCAGGGAGCCGGGCAGAGCCGGGCAGAGCCGGGCAGAGCCGAGCAGAGCCGGGAAGGGGTTGCAGAGCCGGGCAGAACCAGGCAGGGATGTCAGGGAGCCGGGCAGAGCCGGGCAGGGATGACAGGGAGCCGGGCAGAGCCGGGCAGAGCCGGGCAGGGATGACAGGGAGCCGGGCAGAGCCGGGCAGGGATGACAGGGAGCCGGGCAGAGCCGGGCAGAGCCGGGCAGGGATGACAGGGAGCCGGGCAGAGCCGGGTAGGGATGACAGGGAACCGGGTAGAGCCGGGCAGAGCCGGGCAGAGCCGGGCAGAGCCGGGCAGGGAACCGGGCAGAGCCGGGCAGAGCCGGGCAGAGCCGGGCAGGGATGACAGGGAGCCGGGCAGGGAGCCGGGCAGAGCCGGGCAGAGCCGGGCAGAGCCGGGCAGAGCCGGGCAGAGCCGGGGATGAGGCTGAAAGGTCGAGTCGGGGCTGGTTGGGTGGGAGCAAGCCGAGGTTTGGGGTGAATTTGGCTCACAGAGGTGCAGAAAAACAGGGAAGGCTGAGATTGGGGATGAAGAGGCTTTAGGAGGGTTTACACAGGTGGGAAAAGCCCTGGAGCTGGGCAGCTCCTCCAAGGAAAGGCTTGGCTTGTTCCCGGTGGTCTCCCCGAGCCTCCTCCCGAGCGGTGCCGGGCGGGGGTCGGGCCGGGGCGGTCTGGGGAGGTGCCCGGCTCAGCCCGGGGCTGCCCCAGACTCGAGGTGTGCCCATTGGGCATGTTGGGAATGGGAGCAGTTGAGCAATTGGCTTTATCGTCCATAAAAGTCACTGCAAGGGAGCGCGGGGGGAGCTCGGCGCTGATTCATGGCTCAAGATCCCTCTGTAAAATCCGAGGAGGCTTCAACATCTGATAATTACCCCATAAACATCAGTCAGAGCCTCGGCCTGGCCCTGCCTGGGCAGCTCGGCTGGGATTTGTTCTGGGGGCATAAAACAGCATCTCCTGGAGGATGGTGCAGCCCTGGAGAGCTCTGGAGCCATGAGAGACAGCAGGATGGCAGGAGGAGGAAAGGGAGGCAGGGAAATGGTGGGTTGCAGTCACACCTGGGATTTCTGGCAGTGCTGCTCTGTATCCTGCCGGGGCCAGGCCACCCTGTGACCACCTCATTCCCTGGCAGGTGTTTCCCACCTGAGGGAAGTCTGGGAATAACAAGTTATGGGCTCTGGGAGAGGCTGAGGAGGGAGGTTGGCCCCAGAGCTGGCCCTGGGATGGAGGAAGCCTGAGGGAAGAGGGCCTGGAGTGGGAGTTATACTCGGGATTTGATTGTCAGGAGGGAAATGAGGGAAGGAGAAAGTTGCAGCTTGTTCTGAGCTCTTAAATTTTGGCTCCGGCACATAAAAAGGGGCTGCACTTTCATCCCGGGTTCAGGAGGCAGCAGGGACTTCTCCTGTCACTAGAGCCCTTCTTGCCTCCCTGGGCCAAACCTCCCTGTCACTGCCCTGGGGTTTCCTCCTTTCCCTCCCAGTTCCTGGCCCTGGACACGCAGATGCTGATGGGGAACCGCCGGTACTCACTGAGCCCCGAGGAATACATCTTTGGAGCCCTCAACATCTACCTGGACATCATCTACATCTTCTCCTTCTTCCTGCAGTTCTTTGGCTCCAGCCAGGAGTGAGGGCAGCGGGGCAGGATGCTCCCTGTGCTGGCAAATGTGAGGGGTTAAATTGAGAAGCAGAGGTGAAAGGGTTCAAAACTGCCAGCCTGACCCAGTCCCTCCCTTTCTGGTCCATCCAACGCCCTGAGGAGCCCCAGGCCCCTCCCGCAGCTTTGTGCATTTGCTGCCAGGCCTTTGTGACCCAGAGAGCAAAGCAGGGCTTCAGTGTGTGTCCCTTCTGCTCCCCCAACTCCCTCCCAGCCCAAACCTGTCCCCAGGCTGGGGCAGGAGACCAGGACCTTCCTGGCCCCAGGGGCTGCTGGAGCCCTCTGAGTCCTGCCCAGCATGGGGTGAAAGTGCTGTGACAAAACAGGGCAGCAGAGCAGGGAATTTGCTTAGATCCTGGCAGGAAAAGCAGCTGAGCCAAGGGAAAAGCCTTGGGGAATCCTTGAACTGCCCCGTTTCCCACAACCCATTGGAGCTTGGTGGCCTCTGCGCTATTCCTGCTGTTGGAAACGTGGAGTGTGGGATCACGTAGCTGGATTTCAGTGCTCCAGGCACAGAGAACCTGTTTGTTCAGGACGTGCAGCTCTCTGAGGTCATCCCTGGTGCCACTGCTGGGAAAATTCCCCTGGATCCCTTGCATCTGGCTGAGTGCCCTTCCCCTTCCCCTTCCCCTTCCCCTTCCCCTTCCCCTTCCCCTTCCCCTTCCCCTTCCCCTTCCCCTCCCCTTCCCCTTCCCCTTCCCCTTCCCCTTCCCCTTTCCCTTTCCCCTTCCCTTCCCTGTCCCACCCAGGGGACTGTGCTGGTTCTCTTTGGAGCGTGGCTCCCCAGTGAGGGATTGGGATCCCAGGGAAGGAATATTGCCAGGAAATGGCAGAGAAGAGATGGAGGAGGCTGAGTTTCCATGCTGGGAAATGCCATTCCATGTGGGATGCTGTGACCCACCCTGAGGCTCTGACACCCTCCCAGAACTGTCTTGCTTGCCCCAAATTAGCATTGCTAAGGGGTTCCTCCAGGGATGGAGACCACTGGAACAGCAATGTTCCCTCTCCCTGGCTGTTTTCCATTTCTCCTCTCCCAGCCGGGAATGTCAGCGCGGGCTCTGGATGTGCTCAGGTAACTTTCCACCGTGGCCATGCTCACATTCCCTCTTTGGGGCTCAGCTGGCTGATTTGGGCTGTAAAGCTCCCCGGGGAGATAAGGGGCCTTTTGCTCTCATTCCAAGAGTGATCCTTCCTGCAGATAGGAGCTGGTATCTCCCATCTCGCTGGGAATGCCCATCAGGGAGCTGCCTCCAGCAATTCCTGCTGCAGAGAGGCTCTGCCAGAACGCTGGAACGTTCCTGCTCCTTCTGCCCCGGGTTTTACCCCGCACATGTCCCGTCCTCCTGCCTCACATGTCCAGGGAAATTTACTGTGCAGGGAATGGAAACGCTCCAGCCCCTCCGTGGCTGCAGCGATGAGCAGAAGTGATGCCTTCCCCTAAAACATCCCCCAGAAAAACCCAACCAGACAAAAAAAATCTTGTCCAGGTCAAAAAACTCCCAACCAGACAAAAAAAACCCCCAGTCTGACACAAAAAACCCAACCAGACAAAAACCCCACAACTAGACCAAAAAAACTCTGACCTGACAAAAAATAAAAAATCCCTAATCAGAATAAAAATATCTCATCCAGATCAAAAATCTCCCAACCAGACCAAAAAAAAAAAAAAAAACCAAAAAAACCCAAACAAACAAACAAACAAACAAAAAAACCCCACAAAAAAACCCAAAAAAAAACAAAACAAAAAAAACCAGCCAGACCCAAAATCCCCAACCAAAGCCAAATTCTTTGTAGGGATGAAGGACACGACAAGGTGATGCCAGCAGGAAGTTCATGCCCTGCTGGTTCCTGCTGAGGAGAACCAAATCCTTGGATTGCTGAGCAGGCAGGACTGGGAATTGCATGGGAGGCACCCTAAAAGTAGATGGAATAAGAGTTTTGAGAGGGAACTTCCCGGCCCTCTCCTGGCTGGGCAGCCTTTCTTTGCTCACAGTTATTTCCTGTAGGGATTTGTGCTTTCCAGGCTTGGAGGGAGGAGTGTGGAGCTCCATGATGAGCTCTGGCTCTGAAACAGTCCCAGAACTCCTCCAAAATGCCCTGCTGGGAGCTGGGGAGGAACACACGGACCTGCAGCCCCTTCTGGAATTGTTCTTTTTCCTTCTGGTGTGGAGTAATTTTGCTGCTGCTGCTGCATCCTGGCTTTGCTGCTGCTGCTGCTGCTATCATCCTGGCTTGCTGCTGTTAGATCCTGGCTTTTCTGCCCCTGCAGCCTGGCTTTTCTGCTCCTGTTGGGAACACCTGGCATGACCTCCTGTGTCCTTTTTCCACATGGATCCCACCCCAGCCAGCCCTGATGGATGCTGAGCACTGTCCTGCTCAGGAGGCTGAGGGATGCAGGATTTGGGGTGGGGTGTGGAGGGTTGCTCCCCTTCCTCCTGTGTCCTCCACCCAAAATCCCCATCCAGCTCCATATCCCAGTCCTTTGGATTGGTTGTTCCTATGATTTCACTGTAAATAGAATTTTGTATCTTCTCTGACTATTGCTAATAAATGGTTGCAAAACTGTTCCTGTGCCTGCTCCTGCTCTGTTTGTGCAGGTGCTGCTTCATCCTTTAAAATGTAAACGAGGTCCTGGCATGGCCCAGAGGTTTAACGGAGCCGAGTCACATCTCCCCCGGTTCTGAGTGAGGAGAACATCCCACACAGAGCAATAAAAAGCAATAAAAAGTAAATGGAAGAAAAAAATTCAATACACCACCCAAAATGAGAACCTGCACTGGGAGAGGTAAACTCCCATCTCACTCCCTCAGCTCTGAAGGGATGATTGTCCAGGACAGAAATCCCAAGGCAGCAAGTCTGTGCTTTTGGCAAGGAGTCAAACCCAAAATGTGGGAAATTTGGTTCCTGGGAAGTGATGCTGAACAGCCAGGAGGGATTTCCCTGCATTTTCTGTAGAAAAAAAAGGCTGAAGTGGAACATTCCCACACAAATAATGAGGTGTCCAAGAGCAGTTGGACGAGGATTCCCTGAAATTACCACAGACATGACAAAAGCTGATGATTCCATCAAATTTCAGCACTTGGCTTTTGGATGCTCAGGAAAAACTGGGGATTAATCACACTGGGACCATCAAAGAAAGGATGGAGCGATGTAGAATAAGGGGGAAAATTTGTCAGGGTGTGAGGGATGCTGGAAGGAGAAAGGGATGGAGCTGCTTTCCTGTAGAAAACAGGAATTTGGGGGTCCTAAATCCAGCCAGAGAGTGTTGGAGGAGACTTCAAACCCCTGAATTCCACTGCCTGGAGAAGGGGGAACATTGTACCTATTTTTGCACTTTTTTCTGCCTTTCTTCTGTGGCCAGGGGCCCGCACGGGGAGGATGAGGAGCTGCTGGAGAGAGCCCAGAGGAGCCCCGGAGCCCCTCTGGAGCCGGGCTGGGAGGGCTGGGGGTGCTCAGCTCACTGCAGGGAGAGCTCCGAGCCCTGCCAGGGCCTGGAGGGGCTCCAGGAGAGCTGCAGAGGGACCGGGGACAAGGATGGAGGGACAGGAGCCAGGGGATGGATCGCTGGTGCCAGGGGCAGGGATGGGTGGGAGATTGGGCAGGAATTCCTCCCGTGAGGGTGGGCAGGGCTGGGATGGATTTCCCAGAGCTGCCCCTGGGTCCCTGCAGTGCCCAAGGCCGGGCTGGGATGGGATGGGATCAGTGGGATCAGTGGGATCAGTGGGATGGGATGGGATTTAGGGGACGGATGGGATGGGATTTATGGGAGGGATAGGATAGGATTTATGGAATGGATGGGATGGGATCAATGGGGTAAATGGGATGGGATGGGATCTGTGGGATCAGTGGGATGGGTTGGGATTTAGGGGATGGATGGGATGGGATAAATGGGATGGGATAGGATTTATGGGATGGATGGGATGGGATAAATGGGAGGGGATCAATAGGATGGGATGGGATTTAGGGGATGGATGGGATGGGATGGGATGGGATCAATGGGGTAAATGGGATGGGATGAGGTGGGATGGGATGGGATCTGTGGGATCAGTGGGATGGGTTGGGATTTAGGGGATGGATGGGATGGGATTTAGAGTATGGTATAGGATGGGATAAATGGGATGGGATTTATGGGATGGGATGGGATGGGATTTAGGGGATGGGATTTAGGGGATGGGATGGGATTTAGGGGATGGGATGGGATCGATGGGATGGGATGGGATATAGGGGATGGATGGGGTGGGATCAGTGGGATGGGATGGGATGGGATGGGATGGGATCCATGGGATGGGATGGGATCCATGGGATGGGATATAGGGGATGGATGGGATGGGATGGGATGGGATGGGATTTAGGAGATGGACAGGATGGATTTTAAGTTCCCTTCCCACCCACACCATTCTGCAATCCCATGAAAACACAGAAGGGCCATCCAGGGAGCCGGAGCCTTTCAGCTCCATTTGTGAGCTCCGGGCGCCCTCTGCTCGTCAGCAGCGAATGAGCCCAAATCGCTGCGGCAGCGAAACCCTAAACCTGCACCGGGACCCTCAGCCGGGGCCTCCCCTCCTCCTAAAGCCCCTTAACAGGAACTTCCATCCTCTTCTGCTTTCAAACCTCTCCCAGCTGCAGCCTCGGGTCCTGGGCACTGCCAGAACAGCCATGTATTTAATTGGGATTTCAATAACTTTTATTCATTACTGATGTGTACAACATTTATATAAATGTATTTTTATATAATTTTTTATTATTTATTTATTTATTTATTTATTTGATAACATCACTTTATCTTATTCAAAATTGCTTTCAATAATGCTGATATAAGTATCATTTATACTCTATTTATTTGAACAACATTAATCTGTTTTAGAGGATAAAATATGAATTTTATATTAATGTGTATGTGTCATTTAAACCCCCAAACCCCTCCAAGGCCTGAGACCTGCGGGAGGAGCTGGTGGTTGTCACTGTCCCTCTGCGGCCTGGCAGGGCCACACAGGCCTGGGGAAAACAGAATTCACTGCTTAGAGTTTTTAAAAGTTTAATAATAATAATAATAATAATAATAATAATAATAATAATAATAATAATAATAATAATAATATTACAAAGAACACACGGGGTATACAGACAGTGTTATCTTTGTACTGTTACATTGCTGGGAACATGCATATTCATGTGATTCGTGCATTATTCAAATTTCTTTCGAACTTTCTGATGTTTTGGGGACTCCTTTGTTTGACTTCTGTACATTCCAGCCACATCCTGGGTGTCAGGTCAATATGTTTTATTTCTTCTTCTGTCTCCATCCGGCTGTTTCACATCCTCTGGTAAGATTTTTGTAGGTCCTCCTTAATTTTAACATGGTGTTCTCTAATTGTCCTGCTTGATTTTTACATGGAATTCTCTAATTGTCCTCAATTTTAACATGGTATTCTCTAATTGTCCTGCTTAAATTTAACATGGTATTCTCTAATGGTCCTGCTTAAATTTAACATGGTGTTCTCTAATTGTCATGCTTAATTGTAACATGGTGTTCTCTAATTGTCCTGCTTAAATTTAACATGGTGTTCTCTAATTGTCATGCTTAAATTTAACATGGTGTTCTCTAATTGTCCTGCTTAAATTTAACATGGTATTCTGTAATTGTCCTCAATTTTAACATGGTATTCTCTAATTGTCCTGCTTAATTTTAACATGGAATTCTCTAATTGTCCTCAATTTTAACATGGAATTCTCTAATTGTCCTGCTTAATTTTAACATGGAATTCTCTAATTGTCCTGCTTAAATTTAACATGGTGTTCTCTAATTGTCATGCTTAAATTTTACATGGTATTCTGTAATTGTCCCGCTTAAATTTAACATGTTATTCTGTAATTGTCCTGCTTAATTTTAACATGGTATTCTGTAATTGTCCTGCTTAAATTTTACATGGTATTCTCTAATTGTCCCACCTAAATTTAACATGGTATTCTGTAATTGTCCTCCTTACATTTAACATGGTATTCTGTAATTGTCCTGCTTAATTTTAACATGGTGTTCTCTAATTGTCATGCTTAAATTTAACATGGTATTCTCTAATGGTCCTGCTTAAATTTAACATGGTATTCTCTAATTGTCATGCTTAATTTTAACATGGAATTCTCTAATTGTCCCGCTTAAATTTAACATGGAATTCTCTAATTGTCCTGCTTAAATTTAACATGGTGTTCTGTAATTGTCCTGCTTAATTTTAACATGGTATTCTGTAATTGTCCTGCTTAATTTTAACATGGAATTCTCTAATTGTCCTCAATTTTAACATGGTGTTCTCTAATTGTCATGCTTAAATTTAACGTGGTATTCTGTAATTGTCATGCTTAATTTTAACATGGAATTCTCTAATTGTCCTGCTTAAATTTAACATGGTGTTCTCTAATTGTCATGCTTAAATTTAACATGGTATTCTCTAATGGTCCTGCTTAATTTTAACATGGAATTCTCTAATTGTCCTCAATTTTAACATGGTATTCTCTAATTGTCCTGCTTAATTTTAACATGGTGTTCTCTAATTGTCCTGCTTAATTTTAACATGGTATTCTCTAATTGTCCTGCTTAATTTTAACATGGAATTCTCTAATTGTCATGCTTAAATTTAACATGGTGTTCTCTAATTGTCCTGCTTAAATTTAACATGGAATTCTCTAATTGTCATGCTTAATTTTAACATGGAATTCTCTAATTGTCCTCAATTTTAACATGGAATTCTCTAATTGTCATGCTTAATTTTAACATGGAATTCTCTAATTGTCCTCAATTTTAACATGGTATTCTCTAATTGTCCTGCTTAATTTTAACATGGAATTCTCTAATTGTCCTGCTTAATTTTAACATGGAATTCTCTAATTGTCCTCAATTTTAACATGGAATTCTCTAATTGTCCTGCTTAATTTTAACATGGAATTCTCTAATTGTCATGCTTAATTTTAACATGGAATTCTCTAATGGTCCTGCTTAAATTTAACATGGTATTCTCTAATTGTCCTGCTTAATTTTAACATGGAATTCTCTAATTGTCATGCTTAAATTTTACATGGTATTCTCTAATTGTCCCGCTTAAGGTCTGTAACACAGTACATTCATCACACTATTATTTCCACAAGTGATATATAGCTATTATATTCATCACACCACTATTTCCATGATACTCAAGCTGATAAATTATATTATACTAGCATGCAGCTAAAAGGAGTTATAATCAATATAACTATTGTGAAAAACGCCAATCACTTGTTTTTAAAAAAATTTTAGAGATTAATAATAATAAAATGGTTATAAAAATAGTAATACAATTAGAGTAATAAAATTTAGAGTTAGGACAATTACAAGACGATAAAAAGCAAAGAATTACGGATGTCCGGATGCTCTCAAACACTAAGTCACAAAAAGCATCGCTTGTGAACAAAGGAATAACCTTAAAAACAACAGCCTGCTGCATATTCATATATCTCATACATGATGCATAAATTCCTTGCAAATTAAGAACTTTTCTGGGTTTTGTCAACTTCTTAAAAAGACGAAGAGAAGGTGGAAGAATGTTTGTCTGTTCTGTGACTCTTTATGGGCCCTTTTCCTGCCATCTCTGTGTGAAGTTTCTTGATTATCTCATCTCTTGCTTGAGCTTGTAACAAATCCTACATCGCAGAGTTTCTATTTTAACATTATGTTGTAACCCAAAACTACATTTAACACACAATTTAAGAGAATTAATACAGCATAACTTTCTAACATTACACATATAACATTCATTGCAACACTTGCGAAAAGCCAACCATAAAATCTGCATTTTTCACGCTATTGATACAACAATTTCTGCATGGTTAAAGTCACGTATAATGTGCACGGGCTAACAGGGAAATGCGAAAATTGCTTTTATCGGGTCCTTTTTCACGGGCATCTTGAGACAAAATCTCTTCTCTTCGCCCCAAGGGGCTGTGGCTGCCCTGGTGGCACTGTCCCATGTCTGTGTCCCTGTCCCGTGTCACTGTCCCGTGTCCCTTGTCCCATGTCCTGTGTCACTGTCTCTGTGTCCCTGTCGCTGTCTCTGTCCCGTGTCCCTGTCCCTGTCCCTGTCCCTGTCCCTGTCCCTGTCGCTGTCCCTGTCCCTGTCTCTGTCGCTGTCCCTGTCCCTGTCCCTGTCCCTGTCCCTGTCCCGTGTCTCTGTCCCTGTCCCGTGTCTCTGTCCCTGTCCCTGTCTCTGTCTCTGTCCCTGTCGCTGTCCCGTGTCCCTGTCCCTGTCCCTGTCCCTGTCCCGTGTCCCTGTCCCTGTCCCTGTCGCTGTCTCTGTCCCTGTCCCTGTCCCTGTCCCTGTCCCTGTCCCTGTCGCTGTCGCTGTCCCGTGTCCCTGTCCCGTGTCCCTGTCCCTGTCCCTGTCTCTGTCGCTGTCCCTGCCCCTGTCCCTGTCCCTGTCCCTGTCCCTGTCCCTGTCCCGTGTCCCTGTCGCTGTCTCTGTCCCTGTCCCGTGTCCCTGTCCCTGTCCCTGTCCCTGTCGCTGTCCCGTGTCCCTGTCCCGTGTCCCTGTCCCTGTCCCTGTCCCTGTCCCTGTCGCTGCCCGGGCCGTTTCTGCCCCGGAACGTTTCTCTCCGGCCGCGGTTCCCGCCCGGCGCGCGGCGCGGTGCGAAGATGGCGGCGCCCATGGGCCGTGGCGGCCCCGAGCCCGGCGCGGCTCCCTACGGGAACTTCCCCAACTATTCCCGGTTCCACCCGCCCGAGGGCCGCGTCAGCCTCCTGCCCCACGGGCTCCTGCGCAGCCTCTTCCCCGCGGCCACCCGCCCGCTCCTCGGCCTCGACGTGGGCTGCAACTCCGGGGTGAGGGGGCGCCGGGGGGGGACGGGAGGGGGCGGCTGGGGCGGCAGCGGTGTGGGGTGCTGGGGACACTGGGGCAGACTGGGGGGCACTGGGGACACTGGGGCAGACTGGGGCAGACTGGGGGGGCACTGCTGTGGGGTGCTGGGGACACTGGGGACACTGGGGGGCACTGGGGGGGCACCGGTGTGGGGTGCTGGGGACACTGGGGCAGACTGGGGGGGCACTGGGGACACTGGGACACACTGGGGACACTGGGGCAGACTGGGGGGCACTGGGGACACTGGGGCAGACTGGGGGACACTGGGGCAGACTGGGGGGGCACTGGGGACACTGGGGCAGACTGGGGGGCACTGGGGACACTGGGGCAGACTGGGGGGGCACTGCTGGAGGGGCACTGGGGCAGACTGGGGGGGCACTGCTGGAGGGGCACTGGGGCAGACTGGGGGGGCACTGCTGGGGGGCACTGGGGCAAACTGGGGGGCACTGGGGACACTGGGGAGGCACTGCTGGGGGGACACTGGGGCAGACTGGGGGGACACCGGTGTGGGGTGCTGGGGACACTGGGGACACTGGGACAGACTGGGGGGCACTGGGGACACTGGGGCAGACTGGGGGGGCACTGCTGTGGGGCACTGGGGACACTGGGACAGACTGGGGAGGCACTGCTGGGGGGCACTGGGGCAGACTGGGGGGCACTGGGACAGACTGGGGGGCACTGAGGGCACTGGGGCAGACTGGGGGGGCACCGGTGTGGGGTGCTGGGGACACTGGGACAGACTGGGGGGCACTGGGGACACTGGGACAGACTGGGGGCACTGGGACAGACTGGAGCAGACTGGGGCGGCACCGGTGTGGGGTGCTGGGGACACTGGAGCAGACTGGGGTCACTGGGGCAGAGTTGGGGGGCAGACTGGGGGGACACTGGGGTAGACTGGGGAGGCACTGCTGTGGGGCACTGGGGCAGACTGGGGGGCACTGGGGACACTGGGGACACTGGGGGGGCACTGAGGACACTGGGGCAGACTGGGTGGCACTGGGGACACTGGGGCAGACTGGGGGGGCACCGGTGTGGGGTGCTGGGGACACTGGGGCAGACTGGGGGGCACTGGGGACACTGGGACAGACTGGGGGGCACCGGTGTGGGGTGCTGGGGACACTGGGGCAGACTGGGGGGCACTGGGGACACTGGGGCAGACTGGGGGGCACTGGGGACACTGGGGCAGACTGGGGGGGCACTGGTGTGGGCTGCTGGGGACACTGGCGCAGACTGGGGGGCACCGGTGTGGGGCACTGGGACAGACTGGAGCAGACTGGGGGGGCACTGGGACACACTGGGGAGGCACTGCTGGGGGGCACTGGGGCAGACTGGGGGGGCACTGGGGGGCACTGGGACAGACTGGGGGGCACTGGGACAGACTGGGGGGGCACTGGGGGGCACTGGCACTCCCCTGGTACTGGGGGCACTGGGGCAGACTGGAGGCCCATGGAAAAGGCTCGGGATGAGGCACTGGTGTGGCGTGGTGCAGACTGGGAACACTGGTGGGGAAGGAGAGAGGAGGGCAGTGGGACTGGTGAGGAGGATGAGGAGGATGAGGAGGATGGGGAGGATGAGGAGGATGGGGAGGATGGGGAGGATGGGGCAGGCAGTGCCCCTGGGATCTGCTTCCCCTTATTCTGCTCCTGGGAGCAGATCCCCACCTCTCCTGCTCCACCTCCTGTGCAGCTTGGAGAGTGAGGAGGTCCCACATGAGCCGCCAGCTCCCTCAGGGATTTCCAGCTCTGACTGGAGCTCCAGCCCTTTCCCAGCTCCAGACACATTCCAGCCCCTCAGAGACCTGCCCTGGATCCAGGTGTGGCCTCTCCTGGCCCAGCAAAGCAGAACTATGGATCCCACCTGAAACCCAGCCTGGCTGGGACAGTGCTGCTGTTCCTGGGGCTTGGAATTCCCCCTGAGGGGCAATTCCAGGTCCCATTGCTGGTGGAGCAGGTCAGTGAGAGGCACTGTCACCCCCAGAGGACATTCCCAGCCTGTCCTGCAGCTCCAGGAGCTCCGTGGGATCTCCTGGAATTAAGGATTCATTCACTTTCCATCAGTGTGTACTGTGGAGAGAGATTCCAGGCCGGGCCCCTGGACATTCCAGGAGCCAGCTGCTCCTGTGGAAGGTGTCCTGTGGCAGAGGTGGAGGGGGATGAGCTGGGTTCCTGCAGCCCTGAGCATTCCATGATTCCCTGGTTTTTGGAGCAGGCCCTCGCTGTGGGGGTGTCAGCACAGGGGGGTCCCCGGCTGGGTGAAAAGTTACATAATTTACAGAAGGTTGAGCAATTTCTTTATTGAGAAACCCATTGCTCTTTTATACCCTAGTTCACTACAGCTAGACCTAATTGATCCTTGAATTAAAACACCATCACCACTGACTAATTAAGAAACCACCCTTTGGTAAATAATCTCCGTAACACATTGCACATGTCCACAGCAGCAGGTGCAGCCAGTGAAGATAAGAACAGTTTCTCATTCTTTTCTCTGCAGGGAATGGGCAGGGAACGGGCACGGAGCAGGCAGGGAACGGGCAGGGAACGGGCAGGGAACGGACAGGGAATGGGCAGGGAGAGAGGGAATGGGCAGGGAACGGACAGGGAATGGGCAGGGAGAGAGGGAATGGGCAGGGAACGGGCACGGAGCAGGCAGGGAACTGGCAGGGAACGGGCAGGGAATGGGCAGGGAACTGGCAGGGAACGGGCAAGAGAGGGGCGCAGAATGGGCAGGGAATGGGCAGGGAACGGACAGGGAATGGGCAAGGATGATGTTCTCACAGCCTTTTCCCAGAACCATGCCTGGGAAAGTTTTGTGCTGCTCTCTGTGGCCAGAGCTGCTGCCACACAGGGGATCCATTCCAGGTGCTCAGGGCTCCCAGGACAGAGGAGGCTCTGGGGAGGTCTCCCAGGATCCCTGTTTTCCTCCTGCAGGAGCTCAGCGTGGCTCTGTACCAGCACCTCCTGGGGCTCCAGGACAGCCCTTCCAGCCCGGAGCCTCCAGCAGCCGCGAGGGAACTGCAGCTGCTGTGCTGCGACATCGACCCCGAGCTGATCCGGAGGGCCCAGCAGAGCAGCCCCTTCCCTGCATCCATCTCCTTTGCCAGCCTGGACTTCATGGACCCCGGAGCCAGGGAGCCCTTCCTGAGCTCCTTCCTGGAGCGCTTCGGCCGCTCCTCCTTCGACATCGGCTTCTGCATGTCGGTGACCATGTGGATCCACCTGAACCACGGCGACGGGGGCCTGCTGGAGTTCCTGGCGCTGCTGGCCTCGCTGTGCACCTTCCTGCTGGTGGAGCCGCAGCCCTGGCGGTGCTACCGGGCGGCGGCGCGGCGGCTGCGCCGCTTGGGCCGCGCCGACTTCGAGCATTTCCGCTCCCTGCAGATCAGTGGGGACATGGCTGCAAGCATCACCCGCATCCTGACGCAGCAGTGCGCCATGGAGCTCGTCTGCTCCTTCGGGAGCACCGCCTGGGACAGGAGCCTGCTGCTCTTCAGGTCCACGGCCCGTCCTCAGGGCTCCGGCTGATTCACGGCAAGGAATCCCAAAATCCCTGTTAGGACCAGGCCGTGACTTCCCCTGTGAATCCAGGGCAAGGAATGTCTGTGAGTGATTTTTTTTAAGCAGTTTTGTGGGGTGGGAGGCTGTTCAAGGAAGCGTTCCTGCAGTCCAAGTTCCTATGTGTGCTTTCCACGTGTATCAAGAATATTTCTGGAATATGCCCAAGGGAATGTAGAATGTCCTGATTGGAATGGCCTCACAAGGATCCTCGAGTCCAGCTCCTGGCCCTGCACAGGACATTCCAAAACAATCCCATTACTCCCAAAATCCTGATGCCCAAGTTGTCCAGACATTGCCAGGCCTCCAGAATCATGGAATATCCAGAGCTGAAAGGGACCTGTGAGAATCAGCCATGGGACATTGGAGTTGGAAGGGACCCACCTGGATCATGGACTCCAACTACTGGCCCCACACAGGACAGCCCAAAATCCCACCCAGTGCCTGAGAGAGTTGTCCAAGCACTCCCCGACCTCCAGAATTATGGAATAGTCAGAGTTGAAAGGGACCCACAAAGGACCACAGAGTCATGGGGTACCCTGAGTTGGAAGGGACCAACACCAACTCCTGGCCCAGGACAACCCAAAAATCCCACTGATCCCCAAATCCCTGAGCTCTGGCTTCTCGGGGCTGTCCCCATTCCCTGGGGAGTTGGTCCAGTGCCCAACACCCTCTGGATGAGGGACCTTTTCCCAAAATGCATCCAAAACTCCCCCAGGACTGGGGTGAGGACAATCCCCTCCCTGACCCAGCGCCCCTGGCTCAGCTCTCCCGGGACAGGCGTCCATCCCTAATGGTGAGTGCTTTTGGGAATGATATGCTTGGAATAAAAATCGCTGGATTTTATCCTAAATTCCGTGTTGGGGTTTGTAATCCTGTTTTTATTCCCAAGGGGTACCAGGGAACTGAGCTGCTAATTCTGTTGTACTTCCACTTTTCCTTGCTCCAGTGGGAGCGAGGGAAGCCCAGGGGTGTCCTGAGCCTTGTTGCAGGTGTCACCTCCAGGAGGTGCTCCTGTGTCGCTGCTCCTGCCCAGGTGAGCAGGGACATGGGAAAACCTGCATGGATTTGTCCTTGTCCTTCCTGGGAATTCCTTGTTTCCTCCTGCAGGGGGAAAAGCAAATGTGTGGATCTGTCAGGGGAGGGAAGGGAAGGGAAGGGCAGGGAAGGGAAGGGAAACCTTCTGGTGCCTAAAGGGAGAGCTGGAGAGGGGCTTGGGACAAGGGTCTGGAGGGACAGGACACAGGGAATGGATTCCCACGTCCAGAGGACAGGGATGCATGGGATATTGGGCAGGAATTCCTGGCTGTGAGGGTGGGGAGAGGCTGGGATGGATTTCCCAGAGCAGCTGGGACTGCCCCTGGATCCCTGGCAGTGCCCAAGGCCAGGCTGGACAGGGCTTGGAGGAACCTGGGACAGTGGGAGGTGTGTGGAGTTGTGTTTTAGGTTCCACTGTGTACATGTTCAAAAATGGTTTGTCCCTGACTCGGCAGAGGTGTCCCTGCCCATGGGATGGGATGGATTTTAAGGTCCCTTCCCACCCAAACCATTCCATGATCCCGGGTATTTCAGGATGCTGAGCAGGGTTGTAGGAAAACTTTGAGGCCCTTCCCATAAATCCAACTTCCACAGGGATCCTGTAGCTCTTCCAGCACGTGAATCCCTTTGGGAAATCCCTGACGTTCCAGGAGCTCTGGGGAAGCTCCGCTGACTCCAGGGGTGTCACTCATCCCGTGTTTTCCTCCCTTTGCTCCTGCTCAGCTGCTCTTTCCCAGCCGTGCTGCTGGGGGCACTGGAGGATCATGCATCCCACACCCTCCCCCCCTGGAATGTTTCCCTTCCCTTGTGTCAATATTTGGTGCTGTTTCCTTTCACCTTTGAAAAGTTTCTGAACTAAGCCCAGCCCCATCCCTGCTCCCAGTTAAAGGGGGAAATAATTTCTGCCTTTCTTTTTCCTTTGAGGATTTTCATGCTTCCCTGTGAAGAATTCTAGGAAGAGTTTTTTGGTGGGTGCATCCCAAATTGTTGTCCCTGCACCAGGCTGGAAGGGTTATTTCCTTCCCAGAGACCTGGTTCATGCTCCTTGCTTACTGGGAATCCCCCCAGGATGTGCCTGGGGAATCCTCCTGTGCTGCTGTTTGAGGGGATAGTGTGATATAAATAGTTCCTATTTTATTTTTATGGAGTTGATAGTTCCTATTTTTCCAGCCTTTCCATGCTGTCCATTCCTGGTGTGTCTGTAACTGCAATGGCTCCTTATCTCTCATTCCTGGACTTTGGAACTGCTGATATGGCTCTGTCCCAGGGCTTGGGAGTGGCCTAGCTCCAGAATTCCTCTGCTTGGCTTTGGCACAGCCAAATCCTTTGGGTTTTGCCACAAATACAGCTAAGAATGGTCAAAACCAGTCCCTGTGCTCAGTCAGGAGAAAAGGAAGCTGGGGGGGGATCCTCTCCCTCTCCACATTTCCCTGACAGAGCACCCCTGGCATGGTGGAGCCAGGGGGGATTTGGGATCTGCTACCAGGGAAAAACAGCCTCAGGTTGCACTGGGGGAAGTTTGTGTTGGATATTGAGAAAATTCCTTCATGGAAAGGGCTGTAAAGCCCTGGAAGGGGCTGCCCAGGGCAGTGGGTGAGTCCCCATCCCTGGGAATGTACAGGAAAAGTATGGATGTGCCACTTGGGGACATGGTCAGGGATGACCAAGGTGGTGCTGTGTGGATGGTTGGACTCAGTCATCTCTGAGGGCTTTTCCAACCTGAACAATTCCATAGTTCCGTGATCCCGGCATACTGCAGAGCTCAGCATGGAGTCAGTCCTTCAGCAAAGAGGAGGAAAGATCACTTTCATTTTCCTTTCAGCTCCATGCTCCTGCTGCCCAGGAAGGTGTTGGGACTGGAGAGATGGGAACAGCTCTGGGATACAGAGATGGGAGAGCCTGGAGGAGATCCCATGGATCCCAGCTGCAGTAAGGACCTGGAGAATTCTGTCTATTTTTTCACACTCTGCATTTCCCATACTGCTAAAATCTGTTCCCAGCTTTCCTGAGGGTGGGACAGGGGGAAATTCCAGCTGGGGGTTAAACCCACGTCTGCCTCTTGGACAGCAGCAAAGCTCTGTGATGGTTCCTCGTGGAGAAGGATGGGGAATCTTGGCTGTGTGATTGCACAGCGCTTTTGGGATGGAGAACCCGAGGAGCTGAGCTGGAGCCTGGGCTCAGAGCTGTGCCCTGTTCCCAGTAATCACTTCAGGGATCAATTAGTCCCCTGCCAAGTGCTGGGACTCATTAAGGCTCCCCCCTGCTATGAGGAGGTCACTCTCCCCTTCCTTTCATGGAAGAATCAAGGCTGGGGAGCTGAAGCATCAAAATTCAGATGTTGGAGCTTCCACTTTCCAGGTGGTTCTGCAGGTGCTTCCAGCCCTTGGAGAAAGCATAATTGGGTTGGAGTCGATGAGATTCTTTTTTATTTTTATTTTGGATTTCTCTGTCACTCCTGTGACAATGTCACTTCCTCTAAGGGACACTTTGCTGTCTCCCAGAGTCCCGTGCTGAGTGAGCACAAAGGACACATTCCCAGGGGAAAATGGAGTGTGGAACTCCGGGGCCCAGGCAGGAACTGAGAGTGGCCAGATGGAACAGCCTGAGAGCACCAGATCTCCTGGAGCTGCTCCCTTCCATGTCCAGAACCTCCTGGCACAGCTGGAGAGGGAGTCCCCACCCCAGAGGATTCACAGCTGTGTGGATGTGGCGCTTGGGGACACGGTCAGGGGTGGCCTTGGCCGTGCTGGGGAAGGGTTGGACTCCATGGTCTCAGAGGGCTTCTCCAGCCCAAGCCATTCCATGATTCTGTGGGCGTTGTGCCATTTCCATGGCTGCTTTTCCTGAGCCCTTGGAGCAGAAGGAATTCTTCAGACTCCTCAGCTTAGCTGTGATTCCTTCCCATTCCCCACCCCTGGCCCTGGAAGGGGTGAGTCTCCCCAGCACCCCCTTTCCCAGAGCTCATCCAGGTTTTCATTCTCTACTTCCCAAATTTACCACATTTAGAAGTTTCTCCGAGTTCCCCCTTCCTAGAATTGGGTTGGACTTAGCAAATGGAATTGCATTTCCTCAAAGGGACTCTCCAAATCAGAGCTGGATCATATCCATAAGAGGCTTTCTCAGAGTTTGTTCAACTGTGTTTGGCTTTGATGCTGAGGGGTGGACAGCTCTGGGAATTCCTGGCTGGGAAAATGAGGGATAATTCTGTCAGTGTTAAACCATGGCTGCTCCAGCCCAGGTGTTCAAGGCCAAGCTGGACAGGGCTTGGAGCACCTTGGGGTAGTGGAAGGTGTCCCTGGGGATATTAAAACCCACCCTGGCACTGGGTGGGCTTCAATGTCCCTTCCTACCCAGGCCATCCCATGATTTCTAGCTGGGGACATGGCAAAAAATGGATTAATTCAGCTTCCTGTTTAATCCAAGCAGCCCAGGAGTGGAGGGAGCCACTTGAGGAGCTGGGAGTTGGCAGCAGCTTCCTGGGCCCGGGAACTTGTCCCTGCAGGTCCCAGGGCACAGGTTTGGACTTCCTTGGCTCAGCTCAGGGCAGGTTTCTTCTTGCTCCTCCTGTCACTTTGGAATTACAGGAGAAAAGGGAGAGGTGGCAATCTGTGGACATCTGGGAATCTGATTGTGGAGAGCTGGGAAAAGAGCAGTCCCAACCCAAACACACTTTCGGAGTCTGGCTTTTCCCTCCCAGTGTCACCAGTTCTGAGGCAAAGGTTGGGCTGGGGAGGTGAAGTGGGGGGGAACAGAGCCCTGCTGGGAAAACCAACCACAAATCCAAGGGTGAGGCTGGGGTCATTCTGGATGTTTCCCCAGAACAGCTGTGGCTGCCCCTGGATCCCTGGGAGTGTCCAAGGCCAGGCTGGATGGGGCTGGAGGCAGCCTGGGACACTGGGAGGTGTCCCTGCCATGGCAGGGGGTGGGATGGGATGGATTTAGAGGTCCCTTCCCACCCAAAGCATTCCAGAATTCCCTGACGTGCTGCGGGCAGGTCCTGCTCCCTCGGGTTACAAACAGGGAGAGTTTGGCTGTTCCCTTCCTTGGGCTGTCAGTGCTGGAAGTGCCGTGGCCATGAACCCTCAGGTTTAAATTCCAGGTGGGAAGGGTTCCTTGGAGTCCCCAAGCCTTTATCCTCGCTGGTCCTGGTGGAGAAGCTGGCCCATTGTGGATGCTTCTCATTGAGCTCCTTCATCCCTCTCTGAGATTTTGTTTCAACACCTCAGGTTTCCCATTTTATTCACTTATGAAACAAACCGAGGCAGGTTTGTTTTCCCCCTTCCACAGAAGTCCCTTGGATCATGATGGATCATCCATAATCTTTGCCACCATTTCTTAGCTCAGGCTCAAGTTCTTTGGAATGAGTTAATTTGGAGCATCCTTGTTCCTGTGGAGCTGGGCCCACTGCAAGGGGCAGGAGTCGTGGTGCAGGGTGGGGATCTGCTTGCAGGGAATATAAAATGCTCTCAGACCTTATCTCTTCAGACCTGACAATCTCTGTTCAATCAGGATCATAAAATGCTTCTTATTAGCCCTCTGGAATTTCATCCTGATGTTTAACCAAGCTGCTCTGTCCTTTCACCCTCCCCGGAGCACGGAGCCAGTTTTATTGGGAGTGAGAAAGTCCCGAGGCCAGAGCAGCCTAAACTCGTGTGGGGACCCTGCTGTGGAGGAGGGAAGCTCAGGAGGGATCTCATCCACGTTTCCATGGCAGGGCTCACAGTGGATGATTGATCAAACCCCATCACATGGTGGGTCAGGGATCAGACCCAGCCCTGTGAGGTGGCATCCCTGTGGGATGGGATGCACCAGCATCCCAGAATAATCCATCCTGCTGGATTGCTGGGTTGTAATTCCTGGGAAGGACAGGGAAGCTGATGCTGAGGGGGTCTCTTGTGTCACTTGGTGTCCCTGCTCTGCCCCAGGGCCAGTCCCAGCCTCTGGAAGCTGCTGAGGTGTTGGAATTTGTGGGTATTGGTGATTTTGAGATTGTAGAAAGTTTGTGGTTTTTTGTTCTGTTGGTAAAGAAGAAGCCATAGTTCGTCTGTGCTGGTTTTAAGGTTGTTTATTTTTGCTTATTTATAACATGTTTTGCTGCTTTGCTGTAGGTTTGTCTTGTAGGGCAGTGTGCGGGGCTCTGCCCCTTAGTGGGATGGTACAAATATTATATACTAGAAATTACGTGTACTATATTTATAATAATGTGCTAATATTTATTATTTATGTTGAATAGTGTGTCTTTAGCTTAAACTAATAGAAAAATGCTAATATCACTAAGAACATGGAGGTAAGGAAGAAGAAGGAGGAAGAAAAGGATCAGGCTCACTTTTTTCTATCTTAGAACTTTTGACTCCTCTGTATAAAGTAAAACCCCCCTGTACAATACTAAAAAATTTTACCCTCTAATTTGTGACTACTTTTACTATATCATCTAACCCTCTGTGATTGCTTGTTCCACCTTTAAAGTTGGTAATTCATTCCATGGTTCAAACTCAAAATCACAGCTGTTTTCTGCTGTTTGCCAGGGTCTAAAATGCTTCTGACCAAGGCCTGGAACCTCTGAAAATGTCTGAGGGACATTTTGAGTTCCGACACTGAGGTGCAGCTTTGTTCCCGCAGGAATCTGGGAGCAGTCGTGCTGGAACAGGCCCTGCTGCCAGGCTGACACATCAAAGCAGCTCCCTGGGATCCTCCAGGGATCAAAGGGAGGCAGCAGGGAGGGAACAGGGAGGCTCCCAAACCTGCCAGCCCTGCGATGGCTCAGCTCTGTCTCTGCATCTCCATTAACTCCGGGAACATCCCTGCTCCAGGCACTCCCAGCTGGGATCCAAAGGCTGGAGCCCCTCTGGAGCCAGGCTGGGGGAGCTGGGGTGTTCACCTGGAGAGGAGAAGGATTCAGGGAGACCTTGGAGCCCCTCCCAGGGCCTAAAGGGGCTCCAAGAGAGCTGGAGAGGGACTTAGGACAATGTCCTGGAGTGCCAGGATATGGGGGAATTCCTGGCTGTGGGGGTGGTGAGACCCTGGGATGGATTTCCCAGAGCAGCTGTGGCTGCCCCTGGATCCCTGGCAGTGCCCAAGGCCAAGTTGGACAGGATTTGGAGCACCCCGGGACAGTGGAAGGTGTCCCTGCCCATGGCAGGGGTGGCACTTGATGGGCTTTAATGTCCCTTTAATGTCCCTTCTCACCCAAACCATTCCATGGATCTGTGTGAGATGGTGCTGGGAAAAGCTCAGTGAAGGGACTGCTGTGAGGGAAGAGATCCTTGCTGGCATTTTGGGCAAAATTCCCGTTCCCTGTGTGAGAAAAACAGGCAGGAGGGTGAAGGTTTTAATGGGAAAAAGTCCTCTAATCCCCTCAGAGCAGGTGACACAGCCTGAGCCAGGAATCATGGAATTGTTCAGGTTGGAAAAGCCCTCAGAGATCATCAAGTCCAACCTGGCAAGGTCACTCCTGACCGTGCCACACCCACACATTTCTTGGACATTTTCTGTGATGGGGACTCTGCCCCTGCCCTGGGGCAGCCTTTTAGGGCTGGGCAACCCCTCCATGAAGGATTTTCCCCAAATCTCTAATAAATGTGTGCAAATATGGAATCTCTCCTCCAAAGGCCCTGGTGAGCTGCTCTGGCTCCGTGTCCATCTGGAGAAGATCCATCCCCTCGGGCAGGACCATCCTCTGTTGGTGTTTCCCAAGGTGGCCAGTGCATGGACACAAGGGAATTTGGAAGTTGTGAAGGCTCCTCTGGAACATGTGGTGGCTTCTCTCCAGGGCTGGTGGATCTCCTAGGAATGGTTTGAGGGAGTGACCGCTGCGTTGTCTGGCTGGACATTCCCAGCCTGACCAGTGCCAGCTCCTGGGGGATAACTGGGGCAGATCCCAAAGGATTTCCTGTGCCCCAGCCCCTGAAGCAGGACCTGCAGCACATTCCTCAGGTGGGGCTTTACCTCCACACCTGCCCCATTGCCCACACAGGTGGGGCTCAGTCCTTTCCTCAGAATTCCCACAGGAAGAACCCTGAGAGCTGCCTTTGGTTGCCCCAATCCCATTGTGGATCCCAACTGTGGACAGCCTTGTCCTTGGATCCTCCAGGCAACCACGGGGAAGGCCCCACTTCCACTCAGCCTCATCCCACTGCGGGTTTGGCTCCTTCAGGACAGCTTGTTCAGTGCTCAGGACAGGTGGGAAAGGTGTCCAGGTTTCCATGGAAAAGCCAGGAGAGAGCAGAGGGGTTGCCCCTGGGAGCACAGGAACGTGCAGGGAAGGTCTGAGTGGAAAAGGTGCTGTCTGAAGGGCTCAGGCAGAGGGAACAGGGATCCCATGGGATTTGTGAACCTGGGAGCTGCCTGGGAGAGGAGGGAGGGAGGAAAGGAGGGTGACTGGATGAAAATTGGGAATCAAATGAGACATTCCTGGGGTGTGGATGAGGTTTGGGAATCAGGTATTCCTGCAGTACCTCCATTCTCGTGAAGATTGAGGCTGGACGTGGGAGTCTCACCTGAGCTTGGCTAACCCTGGATGAGGCTTGGGAATGGAACTGGGAATTCTTGGGGTTCCTGCTGGCCGTGCCTTCCTGAGCTCCCTTCTCCTGAGGGTCGTGCTGGGGGTGGGATCTCCCCTGGCCTGGATAACCTCAGTGCAAATCTCACCTGGGGGATTCCCGTGGCCAGAGGTGTCAGAATCTGTGGGTATTGATGATTCCCAGATTGTAGAAAGTCTCTGTCTGTCAGCCCCACTGCCAAAGAAAAGCCATAATTCATCTGTGCTGTTTCAAGGTTGTTTATTCTGTTTATCTCTAACATGTTCTGCTGCCCTGCCGCAGCTCTGTCCTGCAGGGCAGCGTGTGGGGGCTCTGCCCTCAGTGGGATGGTACAAACATTAAATACCACAAACTACCTGTGCTGGATTTACAATAACGTGCCAATATCTGTCACCTACGTTGAACAGTGTGTCCCCAGCCTGAACCAACAGAAAAATGCCAACACCACAGTGAAACATGGAGGGCATGAAGAAGGAGAAAAAGGACAAGACACACCCAATTTCCTCCATCTTGTCCCCTAATCTAGAATCCTAAAATTTTACTTTTGCACCCGTGCCACACTTAATTATTACTGATATCAAACCCTCAGAGCTGGTAATTCATCCTGTAAGGTTGAAAACTCTTTTCCATGGACAGAGATCACAGACAGTGTCTCTGGGGGCTCTGTCCAGGGGGGTTCCTGACCCCTGCCAGAGGGATGCTCTGCATTCCCACACAAAGGAGCTTTCCCTGGGCTGCGGGAGAGGCGAAGGCCAGGCCTGGGCTGGGTCCAGGTTTCCCAGGAGACTCCGACATGTCCCAAACAGGGCCCTGTGCCTGGGGGGGAGGCAGAGCTGCTCCCTGTTCTCTCCTGGTGCTGTCAGCAGCACATTCCCGGTGCCCGTGCCAGCCGGCAGGTCCCGGCGGGTCCCTCCGTGGGGATGTGGCTGCGTTTTTCCAGGCCCAGCTCCAGCTGGGGTGTGGGAAGTGCTGACTCGGGCGTTGTGTGGAGCTGACTCACACAGGGCAGGCTCAGCCAGGAAAGGCTTTGTGAGGAGCTGTAGGAGCTGGACTCCATAGTGGAGCTGGGCTGGTTCCCCTTCAGCCTCCAAAGGAAGAGTTGTAAGGATTTTTAAGTATTTAGAGAGTTGGAAGGTGAAGGAATGTTTTAGTGAGAGAAATGCCCATAAAGCCTCCGATCCAGTCAGGGGTGTGGACACAGGAGCAGAGGATGGGAGACAGCACCTGGAGGTTCCAGAGAACCCTGGAAGCTTCCAGGTCCCTACCAGTCCAATTCCTTCTGGAATCCCATGATTCTCCCCCTGTTCCCTGGGAAGTACCCCGAGGATGGCCCCAGTTGGTTGATGCAGAACTTGCTTCCCTTGGACTCTGATTTTGGGTGCATGGTGGGCCTGAACCCGGTGATCCCTGAGGGGACACCTTGGGCAGGAGCATCCCATGGGTCCACAGGGCTTTGGGAAGCCCAGAGGAACCCTGGGATCCCTTGGAGGGAGGTCCTAGAGTGGCACATCCCAACACATCCCTCTCTGTGATGTCCCATCACAGAAATCCAGGCTGGGCTGGTGACAGAACAGGGAAAGGTCCCACTTTCCCCATGACAGGTGGGTGCCTTCCCTGGGCATCTGCACCATGGTTCCAGGAGGGGAGAGCAGGTGGACGGTGGGGATTGGGGTGGGCTGGGAGATTGTGGAATCACAGAATCACCAAGGTTGGAAGACACCTTTGGGACCATTCAGTCCAACCCCAGCAGCCCCACCAAAGGGACCTCGGGAGGGCTCCAACAGGAGCTGGGCACCTCCACAGGCTCCAGGAGGTGCATTTCTGTGCCAGGATGGCAGGGAAGGCTCCGCTTCTGCTGATGTGGGAGCTTTGCACCACCGAGATTTGCCTCCTGTGCAAAACCCAGGGCAAGTGGGTTGGAGCTGGAGCCGCGGCGTTCCCAGCCCAGGGCAGGGACGCGGGAGGATCAGAGGGATCGCAGCTCGGGAGGGTCCAGGGACGCACCCACGGCGGCTCCCGGAGCTGCCCCGGGGCTGGGTGGGGCTCCCGAGCACCTTTCCCAGCCAGGTGCAGCCGCAGCTGAGGAAAAACCAGGATCCTTGCTGAAAACAGGGACGTGGACCTGGATTTTCGGGTGGGATTCAGGGATGCTCCCCCAGGTGTGTTTTACAGATGCAGGTTTAGCCCCAGGTGTTCCTTGTGTGTGATCCCGGGCTGATATCCCTGGGTTCCCCCTGCTCTGGGCAGTGTTTGCTCTCTGAGTCTGTTTTCTCTCGAATTCCAGTCTCTTGACACTCGGAGCTGAGCACCCAGGGAGAGGTGAGAGGAGGGAGCTGGGTGGGATCTGGACGTGATCCAGGACTCCCTGTCAAAACATCCCCACCCCATTCCTGGCATGATTGGGATGGTTGGTAAAAACCTCCCAGTTCAGAGTAAAACACACAGGAATTGGCACAAAGGGACTGTTAAAGGGGCCCAGCTCCCACAAAATCCACAGGGATTCATCCCATTTGTGCTGGAGCTGGAATTCTGGGTTTAAACTGGCAGGGAAGGGCAACTCTGTCAATGCCTCCTTCAGATACACCTGGATTAGTCCCAGAATCCCGGGATGGTTTGGGTGGGAAGGGACCTTAAAGCCCATCCCATTCCTGATGCCTTCCACGGCCCGAGCTGTTCCAAGCCCCGACCAGCCTGGCCTGGGGATGGGCAGCAGGATTTTGGGGGACTCAGAAGCACCACGTGGATGTCTGTGCTGATCCTGCCTTTTCCATGTGCAGCACCGGCATGGCCGAGCACAGAGAGCAGCTGGGGGGGCTCTTTGCCTGTGTGGAGAATTTGGGGCTCTTTCCTGGTTGGAAAAGCTCAGTCTCTTTGGGAAGGAGAAGGGAATGCTGCCCCTTCCCAGGATGAAGTGAGGGATAGGGCGAGCAGTCCAAAGGCAATTCCCACTTGTGGACTGGGATTTTACCCAGAGCAGGGGCTGGAGCCACTCGAGGCCTGTTCTATAAAGCCAAATACAAGGCCCTGAGTTGCTCCTTCCTGCACTCAAGGTGGGCTGAGGAGCTTCCAGCAAGGTGGGAATCCCCGGTGCTGGGGCACACTTGGGCAGTTTGTGTTGGAATTCAGTCCCACCAAGCCCTGGGTCCCCTGCCATGGTCCAGGTGGGATCCCCACAGTCCTGCCCAAGCTTTTCCCTGCGTTGTGTAAGTGCAGAGCTGCGCCAGCACCGGGCGTGGGCCCATCCCCAATCCCAGCTCAGGTCCCAGCCTGTCCCGTGGCTCTGGGCCATGGCAGGAGCTGCTGTCGGGAGCTGCCAGCAGCAGGGATGGAGGGAATCCAGCCCTTCATCCAGAGGCTCCACTGGTGCTCCCCAAAAGCAGGCTGGGGGAGCTCGGGCAGGGCTGATCCCATGGCAGCTCTGAAGAGGGGAAACATCTCGTGCTCCTGAATTTCAGATTCCCCATGGCAAATCCAAGGCTAGGTGAACTCTGGGGGGTTTTTTTTGAGTGTCTTGTGATCCAGATATCTGGATTTATTTCCCCTGGTTTAGTCTGGGTTTGGGGTCCAAGTTTTTGAGGGTTTTCTGTTGTTGGTTTGAACCAGGAGAGCAGCTGGGATTCCCTGAGGTCCTCACTTTAGGAACTGGGAATAAACTGGTGTCACCACTGGGAATGCTGGGGGATGAACTGGTGCAGATCTGTCATTCTGGTGAATTAGCCAGGGAATGCTGAGGGAATGCTGAGAGAATGCTGGATTACCCATTGTGGAGGGCAGAGGGGTGTAAATCCAGAGTGGATCCACTGAACTGGGCTTGTTTTACTCCTCTCCTTGCAATTCCAAACCCCCAAAGGCTCCAAGTCGTGGGGTCCTCATCCCTACTTCCCTTCTCCTGCCCAGAGGAACTGACAGGTCCCTTTGGCTCCATGACGAGGCTCTGGAAGCATTGGAAATGAAACTCCAGGTGTTTTATATTCCCTTTTTTCAGGGTGAATTGCCTCTCTGTGGGCAAGGGCCCACTCTTGCTGCTGCACTAGGATTTCACCAGCTTGGGAGCGCTGGGGTGAAGGAGATTTTGGAACCCTTGGAGCTGATTCTGAGCCAGATAAAGGTGGGCACGGGGAAGTTGGGGAGTGCTTGGAGCAGCTTTTCTGCAGCTGAAAACATTCCATGCACTGTGACGGTCCAAATCTCCCTGGCACAGGGGGCAGAGGGGCTGCCTGGCCCCAGGGTCCCTCCCAGGGCTGCCCAGCCCTCTTGCCACCATTCCCAGCCCTGTTTGCTTCCTGCGTCAGGCCTGAGTCACCCGGGATTCCTCAGCTCTGAAGTGGTTCCTCCTGCCCAGGTGCTGAGGGCTTTTTTTCCGAAGCGCTGAATTTCTGGGTGTGCCCCGAGCCTCGCAAACACGGCAGGTCCTGGCAGGAGTGGCTGAGCTCCGCTCCCATTGTGCATTCCAGGCGTGGCTCCAGGGGCTGTGCCAGGAGTTCCTTCCCCTGCTGAGCTGGGGCTTTTCTGCTCCTGCTGGGTCCCTCCACACACACAGGCACTGCCCCAGATCCCCCAGAGCCCTGTGGCTCCTCCAAACCCCTCCACACACACAGGCACTGCCCAGTTCCCCCAGATCCCTGTGTGCATCCCAACTGCCTGAGGTTTGGAGAGTTCCTGGTGAATTTGTCATCAGAGAGATCCATGGGGCTGGGAGGGAGCAGGCTGGGAGAAGGGAAGGCTCTGGAGACACCTTGGAATCTTTTCCAGTGCCCAGAGGGGCTCCAGGAGAGCTGGAAAGGGACTGGGGACAAGGCCTGGAGGCACAGGACACAGGGAATGGCTCCCACTGGCAGAGATGGATGTGGATGGGATATTGAGCAGGAATTCCTCCCTGTGAGGGTGGGGAGGCTCTGGAACAGATTTCCCAGAGGATGTCCCATCCCTGGCAGTGGCCAAGGCCAGACTGGACAGGGCTTGGAGTATCCTGGGACAGTGGGAGGTGTCTCTGCCCGTGGCAGGGGTTTGGAATGGGATGAGCTTTGGGATCCCTCAGACAATTCCATGACTCCAGGACGTCCAGGCCCAAGCCATCCCCGTGTCCCACAGGGGAACTCGTGCTGTGGCTGGGGCTCCTTCCACCTCCTCCAATCCCACGGTCTCCAGCTGATCCTGAGCAGGAAATTCTGGGATGGTGTTCAGTGCCTGAAGGGAGCGGGGAGGACGAGCTGAGGCCAACTCCAAACCCCAGGAACCACCTCTGGTCGCTGCTGTCCACAGACCATGGAATTGCTCAGGTTGGAAAAGCCCTCAGAGAGCATCAGGTCCAACCATCAACCCAGCACCACCCCGGCCACCCCTGGACCATGTCCCCAGGTGCCACAGCCACACGTTTCTGGACACTTCCAAGGATGGGGACTCTGCCCTTGCCCTGGGCAGCCCCTTCCAGTGCTTTACAACCCTTTCAGTGAGGAATTTTTCCTAAATCCAACTTAAATCTTCCCTGATGCATCTTGAGGCCGTTTTCACTTGTTTACTGGCAGCAGATGCCGAGCCCACCCTCCTGTCAGGGAGTTGTGAAGGGAGAAGGTCCCCCCTGAGCCTCCTTTTCTCCAGCTGAGCCCCAGGGGACCAGGGCACGGGGGTCTGCACCGTGTCAATCCAGCAAAGCCCAGATTCCCTCTGTGTCCCAGCAGGGCTGGAACTGGGGCAGGAATTGGGGCAGGAATTGGGGCAGGAATTGGGGCAGTCCCCATCCCGGAGGTGGCACACGGGGCACTCCCAGCCCCGGGGATGGGCTGGCACCGCTCCTGTGGGGCTGCGGGCAGGGCTGGCCCTGGCAGCACAACATGGCAAGTCTGGTTTCTCCCAAATTCCGGGGCTGGCCGGGCCAGGCCCTGCGGAGCCACAGCTGGCAGGGACAGGGACAGCGCCCGGCTGGCAGGGACAGGGACAGGCACAGGGACAGGCACAGTGCCCAGCTGGCAGGGACAGGGACAGGGACAGGCACAGGCACTGGGACAGGGACAGTGCCCGGCTGGCAGGGACAGGGACAGTGCCCGGCTGGCAGGGACAGGGACAGGGACAGACACAGGGACAGCGCCCGGCTGACAGGGACAGGGACAGGCACTGGGACAGGCACAGGGACAGGCAAAGGGACAGGGACAGGCACTGGGAGAGGCACAGTGCCCAGCTGGAAGGGACAGGGACAGGCACAGGGACAGGCACAGGGACAGGCACAGGGACAGGCACAGTGCCCAGCTGGCAGGCACAGGGACAGGGACAGGCACAGGGACAGTGCCCGGCTGGCAGGGACAGGGACAGGCACAGGGACAGGCACAGGGACAGGGACAGGCACTGGGACAGGCACAGGGACAGGCACAGGGACAGGCACAGGGACTGGGACAGGCACAGGGACAGGCACAGGGACAGGCACAGGGACTGGGACAGGCACAGGGACAGGGACAGGCACAGTGCCCAGCTGACAGGCACAGGGACAGGCACAGGGACAGTGCCCAGCTGGCAGGGACAGGGACAGGCACAGGGACAGGCACAGTGCCCAGCTGGAAGGGACAGGGACAGGCACTGGGACAGGCACAGGGACAGGCACAGGGACAGGCACTGGGACAGGCACAGTGCCCAGCTGGAAGGGACAGGGACAGCACCCAGCTGTGCCAGCACCCCGGGGTCCCTCCCGTGTCCCCCCATCCTGGTGGCACCTTAGGGCTGCCTTTTCCCTGCTCCAGGGGCAGCCTCAGGGCTGGCATCCAGCTGAGGTCCCCGGATCCCAGCACACCTGGGGTTGGCAGGAACCTCTGGAGATCACCCGGCCCAGTCCCCCTGCCCAGACAGGGCCACCAGATCCCAGTGCTGGGGCTGGCACATCCCGGGGCTGGCACATCCCGGGGCTGGCACATCCCGGGGCTGCCGGGATTCCAGGGGTTTAGGGGACTGAATCCCAATCCCAGTCAGGTTTAGGGGAGTGAATCCCAGTCCCAGGTGGGTTTAGGGGACTGAATCCCAATCCCAGTCAGGTTTAGGGGAGTGAATCCCAATCCCATTTGGGTTTAGGGGGGTGAATCCCAATCCCAGTCGGGTTTAGGGGACTGAATCCCAGTCCCAGGTGGGTTTAGGGGGGTGAATTCCAATCTCAGTAGGGTTTAGGGGAGTGAATCCCAGTCCCAGGTGGGTTTAGGGGAGTGAATCCCAATCCCAGGTGGGTTTAGGGGGGTGAATCCCAATCCCAGTCAGGTTTAGGGAGGTGAATCCCAATCCCAGTCAGGTTTAGGGGACTGAATCCCAATCCCAGTCGGGTTTAGGGAGGTGAATCCCAGTCCCAGTCGGGTTTAGGGGGGTGAATCCCAATCCCGGTCAGGTTTTGGGGAGTGAATCCCAATCCCAGTCGGGTTTAGGGGGGTGAATCCCAGTCCCAGGTGGGTTTAGGGGGGTGAATCCCAATCCCAGTCGGGTTTAGGGGGGTGAATCCCAATCCCAGGTGGGTTTAGGGGAGTGAATCCCAATCCCGGGCGGGTTTAGGGGAGTGAATCCCAGTCCCAGGTGGGTTTAGGGGGATGAATCCCAATCCCAGTCAGGTTTAGGGAGGTGAATCCCAATCCCAGGCGGGTTTAGGGGGTGAATCCCAATCCCAGTCAGGTTTAGAGGGATGAATCCCAATCCCAGTCGGGTTTAGGGGGATGAATCCCAATCCCAGTCAGGTTTAGGGGGATGAATCCCAATCCCAGGTGGGTTTAGGGGACTGAATCCCAATCCCAGTCGGGTTTAGGGGGGTGAATCCCAATCCCGGGCGGGTTTAGGGGAGTGAATCCCAATCCTAGTCAGGTTTAGGTGGATGAATCCCAATCCCGGTCAGGTTTAGGGAGGTGAATCCCAATCCCATTTGGGTTTAGGGAGGTGAATCCCAGCACCGGGACGGCCACAGGACACAGGGGTAACTGTCCCACCGCCCGTGTGGAGAGTGGCTGGCAATGGGGCAGGGCAAGATGCCACCAGTTAAGAAACAGAACCAGTGTGGCCACCTTGGGACCTCTGGGGCCGTTGTTCCCAGGGCGGAATTCCCACCGGACACCGCTCCCGTTCCGTGCCGGGCGGGGCGAGCCCGGCTCACCTGGGCAGGATCCGCTCCTCGGGGCGGGGTCGGGCTCAGGTGCTGCCAATTCCTGCCCGGATTGGGCCGGGAGAGCCCAACTTGGCCTTATACGGGCACAGAGCGGCTCCCCGGGATGGGCCGATGGGCCGGGCTCGCTCCCTTCCTCCTCCCCGCACACAATGCAGCGATTTGTTTGCAGCCAGCCCGGGGATCTGGGGCTCCCGGAGGGGTTTGGGGCACCCAGGGTGGGGCTGGTGATCCCCTCGAGCCTGGGGAGAGGGACAGGGACAAATCCCTGCTGAGCCCTTCCGTTCTTGCTGAATTCCCTGCTCTGTCCTGGAATATTTCATTAGGAAAACGAAATTATCCTCCCCCAAATTCCATCCCCGTGGAGGCTGCAGATGAAAAAAGGCAGGAAACTGAGGCACAGTTTGGTGCAGGAAAGGGAAAACAAACCCTGTCTTTTCCCCAAAGTGGGGGAGCTCCTTCTCCCAATGGCTGATTTCCTGGCATGAGCCACTTCCATCCCTGCAAACAGTTGTGCCAGGTCAGGAGAGGGCCTGGAGCATCCATCTTCCTCCTCCTGTTCCTCTGGAGTCACTCCAGGTGCTGCCTGGAACTGGGGGAGCAGCTGTGGGAGAGCTGGGATGGGTGGATTAAACTGGCTTTGGAGCTGGAGTGGGAGCCCCAGGCCATCGGTTCCTCATGCCAGGATATTTCCATCTCCCTTCCCACACATTTCACCCTGTGGCACACGTGGGGGGGATTTTGGCTCCCCTCTGGTGCTGAGCAGGAACTCAGCTGGTGCCGGATTTTTCCAGGCTCTGTGCCCTGGGAAGGACTGGGAAAAGGCTTGGCTGCTTCCAGACTGAGGGTGCATCCCGAAATCCACCGGGGAAGGAGGGAGAGGTGGAAGAAGAACCAGGAATGCTCCCACCTGCAGCTGTTTCCTGGGGAGTAGAGGGGCTGTGAGCTGAGATTCCAGATGGGAAAAGGGTTTTTCCCCTGGTGAAGATGTTTTGGAGGTGTTCCTGGAGGATTTGGTCCTTAGAGGATAAAAAAGTGGAGTCAGATAGGTTCTGGGGATATTTCAAAGAGGGACTGGCAGCACAGTCAGCTAGAGACTGGTGGTACCTGACCCCAGGGAGGGGAAGGTGACAGATCCATCACTGGTCCAGGTGGGATCAGGTGGAGAGGGATGGATTCCTCACCTTGGGAGCTGTTTCATCTTCCCAGAGTGATTCCAGGTGTGTGGGGGCTTTGGAGGAGGGGAGCAATGGACCAGCCAGGCTGGATCCCAGGAGTCATTCCCTGGATGGGAGCTCTTGGTGGATGAGAAAGACCCTTTTGGATCACAGAATCATGGAATGCTTCAGGTGGGACGACACCTTAAAGCCCATCCAGTGGGCAGGGACAGGTTCCACCATCCCAGGGTGCATCAAGCCCCATCCAACCTGGGATTTTTTTTCCCTTCCTCTGCAGGCCTGCGGAAGAACGCCGGGAATTGTTGGGCATTTTTGGGGACGCTGCAGCGGCCTCACCTGCCCGGCAGAGGGAGCCCGGAGCTCGTTCCTGCCGCTCCAGGTGTGCGGATCCCGGGCTGCGCTCCGGGACCGATTCCCGCTGCTCTTCCCCAAATCCCCGCGGCTCCAGCACCCCGGGATTTGCCCCTGGGATGTCTCACGTCCGAGACCTCCAGGACATCTGACATCTGAGGCTCCAGGCGGGGATGGGATCATCCTTGGGAGCGGCTGGAGCTGATAAGGGATTCCTGAGTGGCCTGGCAGATAAGAGGGATAAATATCCCTTGATCCCACAGGTCTCCTCAGCAGCTCCCAAATCCCCGTGGGGAATGTGCCCTGGCGTGCCGGGGGTGACTGATTGAAGGGGATCACTGGAATCGGCCATAAAACACCATTATTGAGCCATAAATATGGGGATGCTGTTAATTATCCCATTTATTAGTTAATTAAAATCCCTAACCCTGTTTTTCTCAGCAATCCTCAGGCCCTGATCCATTTTTTACATGAATCAGAGGAGGTGAGCGATACATCCACCCCGCCAAGCACCCTCTAACCATCACACAACCATCCCTTTTTCCATGAAACCCGAGCTTTTCCATCTTCCCCACCACCCCCCACCCAAATTCAGTATCCTTTCAGTCCTTAGGAATTTTTAGGAAGCAGCCAGGTGGGATTTTGTCGCATTTTGAGGCAAAACCAGGGATGTGACAATCCTGGCACTTTCTGGGGCTGCCCTTCACCACTGCATCCTTCTCTGTTTCCCCTTTTTTCACATTCTGTCCCTAATAAAATCCAGTGTACGTTATTCTGGATTGACAGCGCTGATCTGGACAACACAGGGAAGGCAGCCAGGACCAGGTTGGTTTGAGACTTTGGATTTTGGCTGCATTGCAACCCTTTAATCCCCTGCTGTGGCCTCAGGGATCTCTCCCTGTCCCATGGGTGGTGAAGGCTCAGAAACAGCAAAAAGATCCCCAAAATCCTCTCAGTTGAGCCCCAGCCTCCAGCTCCCCCAGTCTGGGTGTCCCAGGCTCCCGTTCCAGCCTCATCCCAGACAACACCAGCCCTGCTCCTGCTCCTGCCCTGGGAATGGGGCTGCTCTGAGCACAAACCCTGCGTTTTCCTCTGCCTGGGAAGGGCTTTTTCCAAGGGTTCTGCAGGTTCCTGGCTCCAGAGGCAGCCCTGCACTAACCCTGCCCGACTGGGAGCAATTGCAAACTGCTCAGAGCTGCCCCTTCCCCATCCTGCCAGGCTGGGAAACTGGATTTAACTCTTTCTTCTGGTCTGGAATGTGCTTCCCCTCCTCTGGCTCCCATCTCCTGCCCTGGACCTGGAGAGCTGCTCCCAAATTTGGGTCCTCTGGCACCTTGGGGGCCCTGGGCTGCTTTGGATCTCCCAGGGAAGTCCCCCAGGGGAACAAGAAGCATCTGTGGTCCGAAAGGGCACCTCTGGAATGAAGGGCCCAGGAAAATGTGGGTGCCCAGGATGGACCTGGCCCAGATGTGCAGGAATTCCCCTCTGGAGAGGGCCAGGAGGAGTTTGGGAAGTAGCAGCTGACCCTGGAAGGGCAGTGTCTCCCAGGTGAGCAGCAAACAGCAAAGCTGACCCCAAATTTGGGTCCTCCAGCACCCCAGGGTGCTCTGGTTTGGATCTCCCAAGGAAGTCCCTGTGGGGATAAAGGAGCACCAAAAGGACACCTCTGGAATAAGGGGCAGGGAAAGGGTGCCCAGGTGTGCAGGAATTCCCCTTTGGAGAGGGGCAGGATGGGTTTGGGAAGGGGAAGCTGAGCAGTGCTGCGTGTGTTCCTCTCATTCCCAAAATTGGTCCCCAAGCCCTTGGATGCCACCCCGGGAATGTGCCCAGGCCAGTCCCTGGGAAGTGATTCCAGCCTCACCTGGCTGCCAGACCTCAGCCAGAGCGCCCAGGGGAGTCCTGCTGGGAAGGAGCTGCTGCTCCAGGTGCCTGTGGCGGGAAGCTGAGAGAAAACCAAGGACAGGATGGGTTCAGAGTGACAGAACTTTATTGTAACAGCCAAACCCCGCCAGCCAGAGCTGCCTATCCTACAGGAACGTGGGAATGGGGACCCAGAATCTGGGAATTCGGGGGGCTGAGTGGCAGTGGATGGAGCCAGGAAGGAAAATACTGCAGGATTCTGGGTGAGGCACTTCCAGGGCTGGCTCCAGGAGCTCTGGAGCATCGGGATTGGGATGGGCCAATGGGGGCAGCCAGGTCAGGTACAAGCTGGGGTCAATAAATACAAAGGCAAGGGAGTTTTCCAGCTTTAGGCTGAAAGAGGGAAGATTTGGATTCGATTTTAGGAAGGAAATTCTTCCCTATGAGGGTGGTGAGGCCCTGGGATGGATTTCCCAGAGCAGCTGTGGCTGCTCCTGGATCCCTGGAAGTGCCCAAGGCTGGATGGAGCTTGGAGCAAGCTGGGACAGTGGAAAGTGTCTCTGCCCATGGGCTTTGAGGTCCCTCCCAACCCAAACCTGGGCTGTTCCCAGGGCAGTTAAATAGGAACCAATTCCCAGATTTTAGGAGCTGGAACTGCTGTGTGGAGCTTGGAGAGAGGGAGGGATGATGGGAATCAAGGGGTTTGAGGCATTTTAGCTTTGGTGAAGGAACGAGGGGCGCCTCAAAGGCAGGAAAATGCCCTGAGGTGGCCAAGGGCCCCCAGGTTGTCACCAGATCTGTCAATCCGGGTGACAAATCCATCCCTGGGGTTGTTTTCCTCCCTCTCCCCCAGTGTGGAAACCTGGATGGTGCTTTCCTTGGAATCACCCTCAGAGCAGGGAAAGGGTTTGGCAACACCAGTAAAGGGACCGATGGCAG